CTGTCCTTTGTCAGCATAGTACTGTAGAAGAGTTAACAATAAGCATAGAAGTGTCCTTAGGTATTTTTTGCCAAGTTTTACTTGTTTCCCCATCAGTGTAAGAGCCACTCTTTCTGATTCTTATCCCTGTGGGGACCTTCTGAGCACAAGAATAGCCATATGTCAAGGCCAGAGCTGGCCCTTAAAATCAGCCCTCTTTACKATGAGAATACCCTTCCTGAGGACAATTAAATTAATTTATGATAATTCTAAATCATTGTTTGGTAATGTAAATAAGATATATGATGAGACCTCATTTATGTAATAAGATTGTTTGTTGATTTTAATAGCCTTTGGGATGGCAACTTGAGAAAGAAAAGAACACATTGATTAAGATTTTTAGCAAATAGCATTATATAAAGATTTCTGCAGTAGAAAACAAGAACRGGGAATATTAGTTCTTAAAACAGCTCCTGCAGCTGTTATTAATCATGCAAATAATGCATAATATAAGATGGTTACATAAGATCCCTTGGTTTAAAGTTGCCCATAAAATGTGTAATTTGAATCTGAAAATGCAGCTTTCTTCTGAGGCAGTGGCAGCATTATCATCTGAGAGCTGCTGAAGACTCTTTAGCAAGGTAGGAAGGGATACGGATGATGCTTGGAGCTATCACTCCCACATTGCCTGTGGATGGTTTGTTGAAACCAATTTCCAGATTTTAGCAGAAGCTGCTCAGAGCCTGTAGCACTGGAGATCCCTTGGGGCCCCTTTTGTTTGATGCAGGTGAACAGGGGCTGGCAAGTCCAAGGCAGCTGACCTTGAACAAGGGTCATCAAATCAGCTGTTGGTAATGAAGCAGTGTAAAAATACCTAAGGCTTACTGAGAGCAATATCAAATGTAAAAAATGCATTCCTTGTATTCCCAGGCAACACATTATCAAAAAGATAAGGCAAAAATTCCTGCCTTACTATAAATAGTAGGTATACAGGTTGACAGCGATTGCCATCTTGTGTACAGTGATGTTCCTTGAAATGCACAGTACCACTTTGGCTCAGTTACAGCTGCCATAAAAATTTCAAATAATATGAGCATCTTGCATTATGTTTCTACTTTGCTCAATAAAAATGAAGTGATATTCTTTTTAATTACACTAGCAAGTAAGAAAGACAGTGTGATTGGCTTGGTAACTGTGAATATGAGTCTTGGAAGGTAAGTACCCTCTAGGGATTTGTGTTAGTAAGACTTGCCAAGTTTTGCAGGATATGGGAGGAGGGATTAATTGTTMGCTTTATTAAATCTGTTTTCTTAATATTAAGTAATTTGTTTGATATACCTTTCGGGTGCAGTAGACAGTACTGCTGTTAGTGATACTTAGTTTCTACTTCCTGATGCTATATGAATAGTATGTTAATTTTAAAAATCATTCCTGCCATCATTCACTTGATTTTTTTTTTTGGAGGGCTCATAGTGTCATATAATGAGTAGTTCATCCAGCACAGTATTATCTTCTGGGTACCTAGATTCTGTAATCAGCAYACAAGCTTGTAACTCCAGATTACTATTTTTACTTATTAAATCTATAGTATTAATGAATGCTCTTTCTCATGAGAAATGGGTTTTTTCTCTAATGATGTTATTTGCAAATGCAGGTCTATTAACCCTAGAAATAAAAGTGCACAGTCCTGGCCTGAGTCATAATAGTTTTAATTTTAAGGAGTGAGCAAGACTCTGGGGTTATGTGTCTTTATTGAGAGCATCTCAGTTGATAATATTTCATATGAGTAAAGTATCATTTTGGAAGTCTGCCATCATTGTTTTAGAAGTGGCACGCAGACAAGAATGGATGTAGTTTAATTGTAGTAAGGTTAAAGGATCCTACAGTGTATTTAGTGTTTGGCTCCAGTTTCTCTGGAGTCTAGACCTTTGAGTAGACTGACTTTTCTGTAATTAATTTCAAATTAATTTCAGGTTTTCTGAGTTTCTAATTCAGTTGMTARAACTCGATTTAGTAACCAAACCAARGCAACTGTCAGAATAAACAATACTGAAGTATTCTGAATATTAATAGCAGCACCATCCTTATCCACACCTTCTTTAGTGTTTATGATATGCAGAAGACAGTTAATTTATAATAGGGGCAGATATAAAAAGATATAATGCCTTCTGAATCAGTCTAAATTGTTAATTAAGTAGTAGAAGTCTTAAACAGAGTAACAGATCCTCATAATTTGTGTGGTCAAAACTTAAAAGGTTGGCCATGTTCATTCTTACTGGTATTTTGTACTTTGGAAACACATTGGGGATCTTCATGTTAGGAATGTTAGATGTCCTTATTTTGAAAATATGTAATTCTGAAGACAGGTTTTATGGAAACTTGCATAACTGCTTCCCTAAATTTACTGAATTACGCAGGAGTTTTTGTAAGAGATGCTCTGTGCTCTCATTTTTGATAGTACAAGCTGTGTACTCAGTATGACACACAAGACACTTGGTAGTTGTCAAAGTGGTTACTCTTTCTGGAGCAAATTAGCAAAGTGTTGAGACTTTAGTAAAATATAATACAGACTACTCCCAAGCTATGGACATATTARATATGTGTTCCTGTAAATCCATACTATTTATGGATATATAGTACTTGCTGCTGTTTATCACAGATGAGACCCTTTGTCTTGATTTGGTTTTTTACCTCTTGATAATAGTGAAATGTGACATCTTCCCTTGTAATACTGTATAATGATGTTTTAATGCTGACAGTAAATCTGTACTTAGCATAAAACTGTGAGATATGTAAGTTTTCCCATGTTTCAAGCTGCTTTGTGTGKGGGGGTTTTACTGTAAGAAAATTGTATCATTTGGTTGCATGCCACAGAATAAACTGCAACAAATTTTCCTTTGAAATCCTCTGCTTCTCAGCATTGGGAAGGAGGAAACCGCATCATCCATTTGTGTGAGAAAGCAGTTCCTTCAGGCTGAGACAGCACACAAAATTTGTTTCATAATAAAAACCTGTTAAAAATAAACTTCACAGGGAATTACTGTTGTCAACTCAAAAGCTTTCAGTTAAAATTTGTATGAGTTAGCCATGGAGAAAGGTGTTATTACTCTGTTATTATGCAGTAAAGTGCATTACTGCTGAAGACCTATATTTTGCAGGAAACTGCAATCTCTGTACAATGTGTTCTTTGTCTTACCACTGCACAGTTCAGAACACATTTGGAGATTTTTATGGTGCAGAGGTGGTGATGATTATGGTTTTTAAAATTTAACTTCAGATTAAGATRCTATTAATGCCTTAGGGGTGTCTGTACTCTTACCCACATTAAGGAATTTTTTTTTGGGTTGGCAACAGGAAGGGCCTACCTGTGCCTTATATTTGTTGATCACAGAAGGATACTGTAACTTGTCTTGATGCAAGTGTAAAAGGAACTAAGAGTATTTCAATGGCAGGAAGTAAAGGACTTAAAATTGATGTGGCTCCCATTCTTTATCTTCTTTTGTTTTGCAGTCCACTCCTTTACACCTAGCAGCTGGCTACAACAGAGTTCGGATAGTCCAGCTTCTGCTTCAGCATGGTGCAGATGTACACGCCAAGGACAAAGGGTATGTAAAATTAATTGATTTATGATCTGTTTGCAGTACTGGTTTTGTATTAGTTGAGATAAAGAATTATTTCTTTGGTTCATGTTGCAGCATGATCTCAAATAGTTGGCTAAGAATGTGATACGTGCTTCCAAAATCTGAGTGTGCTTCAGATTAATTGTGATTGCACTTGTTTAAAGTCTTCTTTTACACCTTTAATTTTTTTCCCAAACTTTGTTCTTTACTTCCATTCACAGACTACCTTTTAAAATTATGGACTAACAGGATTCTTTTTGGAAAGGAGATAAGGAGAAGGTACAAGGGCATAGTGAAAGAGCTGCATTGAAAAACCTGTCTATGATCTCATTATCCTCTTTCATATATATGGATTMATTCCAAGTAAAATCAATAATGCTTGTGCTCACAACTAGTGGTCCTCATAGATCTGTCTTCATTGATGCTCACAGCAAAAATCAAGATATAGTAGAGGCTAAAGGATTCTATTTTTGCAGTAAGGATGATAGTTACATAAGATATCAGAAAGTCAGAACAGCAGTCAGAAATCTGAAATGATATGTGCTGTGCATTGTTCTCAGCCATACATTTCTGATCTCGAAGATGATGATTTCTATGATGGCAGGATAAGAAGGCTTAGTCCTAACATTGTAGAAATTGAGTTCCTGATTAAGGGCGTGGATCTTGTATTCAGAGTCCATGTGTGTTCTGTCTCCAGCAGCAAACATGAGGTACTTCCTGTATTTTCATTTTCTGCGGAGTCCAGCCTAGTGTCAAAAGAGATTTTAAATTAACTTCTTAGCTTCTTTCTTTTTTTTCCTTTCTCTCCAAAAGAGTCCTAGGCATACTTAAACTCTCAAACTTTGACTAATTGTAGCTCTTTCATCTGTCCTTTTACCCCAATGGCTTTTTTTAAACAACATTGTTGTGAAACGCACGATGACATGCAACTCAAAAACCAAAAATACGTTCAAAAAAAACCACAAAACCGTCCCAAAACCAAAATACACCACACAAAAAAACTGCCTAAACAAAAAGCACAACAAAAGCCCCCCAACTCCCCCCAAAAAACCCACAAAAATAAACCACAAGAATCCTACAATAATGCTCATATAATACTTATTTGGGTAGATCCAGCATTATTAAGCAAGTTGAAGGTATTTTACACCTTTCCAAAATTTCAGCATCAGTTGGTAGAAAATTCCAGTGTAGATGCTATCATGAGGTTTGAAGAATTTGGTTGTAACATATGAAAAGTAGTTAAGTTGAACTTGAACTGGAGGGCTGGAGCAGGGGGGAAGGAAAACAAACAAAGAAAGGAAAACCTTTCAATACTTACTCTGCACTGAGCTTCAACACAACCCAAACATATTTAGAAACACTTAACATCCTAGTAAGCTCCCACTTTTTTTTTAGTGGCACCACACATTTAGAATCGGTATGGTGTTTTGTTTTACCTCGCTGTTTCTTACTTATACATAATTTATAAGTAAATAGGCTATAAATAACTGACAGTTTTAATTTAAGGAGCTAAATTAGGCTACATTGATTTTATAGAACTCTTAGGTTCTCTTCAATGGAGTCAATTCAGAGAAAGTGCTTAGGAACTGTGCTGCGTTTTCAAAATGGTCACCACTTCCAATTACTCCCAAAGAGAAGCTCAGCCAAGGAAGCTCTTTCGCAACTGTTCTTTTCTTTCCCCTACAGCTGTTGTGCTGGGAAGAGGGGAGGGGATCCTGCAGCAGTGGCCAGGTGCATTGCTGCAGTGATTGTATTTGCTAACAGGCCTTGAAGCCCTCAGTCCTTGGAGAAGAACATCATTTTGGAAGGCAGCGGGTTTTTTGCATGCTCTGTGGCATGGATAGTCTCTCTCTGTCTCACACATGCACCCATAAGTTGTAATAAAGAAAAGTAATGATGGAAAAAACTGAGAAATTCTCCCCTAATTTCCCTCTCCTGTGCTGCTTCTGAGAGCATCCGCCTTAAAATAAGATTTGCTTAATTRCAGTCTCCTACTTGCTGTCTTAATGCTCTCTGAGTTGATTTTGCAGTTCTGGGAATTACTCCCTGTATTTTTCATAGGTGCTGGGGGTTAATGATGGTTTTCAATGCATTTTATGTACTGCTTTGTTGAGCCCTAACTAGCCTGTCTTGCTTGGCTTGAATTAAACTAATTTTGTCCTCTGTAATAATTACCCATTTTGCATCTCCTTTTCAATGCGTGTTTTTTTTATTACATCTTGTGCCTGTGACAAAATCCCTTTTATTTACTTTGCTAGTGTCATTTTAAAGTCCAGCCTGCAGTAATATCACTGTACAAAATTACCAGGACTCTCTTAAAAGTATCTTGAACAGTTAAATAGGTTGTGCTGTAAAAAATGGAGGAAAATCAGGTCATTGCACAGTCTGGAGCAGCAATTTAAGTCTGCTTTCTGTGAATATTTGTACATCTTCATAATATACCCAGGAGTTATGTTGGTGTTATCTGGGGAGTTTTGCCTTTCATGTAGCATTTTAAACAGGAGTTCCTATTTAGGCAGAAGCTGAACACTRTTGAGGAAATTGAATGTGGAATGGGACTTTCCCCCCTCTTTAATAGCTTCAAGAAAGATCATGTCAAAGTCAGTTAATGCTAATCTTAATGGTAGATTAAACATCTGTGGCCTGTTACAGCAAAAAAAAAAAAAAAAAAAAAAAAAACCACAACAAAAAGAAGCCCCCAAAAACCAAGCTACAAAACCCCACATTTTAATGCCACTCTTAAATAATATGTTGTTTGGGGAAGTCACATTTTCCCATTAGTTTGTAAATCCTAATTTTTATATACTTAACTATTTAAATATGTCAACTTTAATTTGATCTTTTTATCTCAGTAGGGAGAAAATTGTTTCTCYTTTAAAAATGCTGCTTAAATATATTTGTCATTTGCTTTCTTYCATGCAGTGGTCTTGTGCCTCTTCATAATGCATGTTCTTATGGACACTACGAGGTTACAGAGCTGCTGCTTAAGGTAAGCAGAGGGATGGAAAGTAATTACTGTTAATTTAGAAGCCTTAGATGAGATATAAACTGTTTAAATCGGAGTTGAAAAGCAAGGGGTTTTTTTCTCCTAGTAACAGGTTTAAAACAGGYTGTTTTCATTTCAGAAGCCTGCAACTTTAGACCTTTGTTGGAACAGTAAATGTGTTTTTTCCCCCACTAAATTTCTTTGGACTGATAGTAGAGTTTAATTTGAATCTTTCTGTTCAAAAATTAGCTCACACAGAAATTACATTTATTTTTGAGGAGCCAGCAATATTTTTGTGTATACTGGTATTTTAAGTTAATTTCTTTGTGTATATGTTCATATACGAGTGATTTGAACTGGTTTTTTGGTTCTTTTTTTTTTTTTTAATTTGTAAGCTTTTATGTTGTTGAAAATGATTTCTTACTAACCCAAGGTTTTTTTTTGCTGTGCTAGCATGGTGCCTGTGTGAATGCTATGGATCTCTGGCAATTCACCCCACTGCACGAGGCTGCTTCCAAGAATCGCGTGGAGGTCTGCTCCCTCCTGCTGAGCCACGGCGCTGATCCCACCTTGGTCAACTGCCACGGCAAGAGCGCGGTTGACATGGCTCCAACGCCTGAGCTCAGGGAGAGACTGACCTGTAAGTGTTTCCAGACTGAAAACATTTGGTGGGTRTGAAGGGATGCTTTCCTTCCAGGCCACCTTCCTTGAGCTTCAGAAATGGCTGCAGCTGTGCCGYGCGCTTTGAGGGGCGCAGGTACCTCTGATACATCGTTTGTGATATTGCCTGATTTTCTGAAGTTTACAATTATTAAGGTACTGCTGAATTAGTGGCTTTGAGGGTTTTAAATCCATTTCAGTCACACAGGAGCCTCCATATTGAGTCTGTATTGCATTTAGAAACTTACAGAATATASGTAGCTTTGGTGTGCAGCCTTGAAGATGGAAATTCCATCACCTTCTTTTGTAGTCTTTGCAATGCTTATGCTGTTTACAAACCCATATTTCAACTCTAATTTTAATTTGTATGTCTTTGCTTTCCCTCTCTGGGGTTTTGTTTTCTCAGTCTTACAAAATGTAAAAGATAATTAAATGAGACACATATGGAAACAGAGCATATGAAGTTACAGAAAACTTCTCAAGAATTAGATTCTCAATTATAAATAAGTTTTTGGTTTTGTCTCTCACCTTCTCAGTAKAGGAGAAGCCCCCCAGACACTAATAGCGTGATCCTGTACTACTCACAATTACAGCKAGTCAGGTTTTGGTCTGTCAGTATTCTTTGCAGGGGAAGATGATGAATSATGTGCAATAGAAAACTTTGGTCTAGAAGTAAAGAGTATTAGCCTTAGTATCTTTTAGGTACTTCTCTGCTCTGAGTTCTGGGCTAAAGCTTTTGGCTCTGAACAAGGTTCATCTAGCATTTATTTAAATTAACAAGCAAAAGAAAAAATCAAYTTAAACTTTGGTTTATTTCTGTATTTAGAGTTCCTCAAGAGAAGTGACGGAAGATTCTTGTCCATTAACATCCACTGAAATTTGTAAACAAATAACAAGGGTTATGTCAAATCTGACACTATCTTGATGGGATAGCTTGTATTTGCATCCTAAAATATCWTGTTTATTATGTTCTTGAGTTGTTTGGTCTTCTATTATGCGAATAAAGTTACATTATATTTGTTATTTCAACATTTATTTGCACTTGTGCTTTGAGTAATGCTTTGCTTACAAAGGATTTTGAACCAGTCATTAAAACACAGGTGGGTGAAGAAAGTCCGTCTTTAACAAGCTTAGGATTTCAAGCTTGCTTATGAAAGAAAAATATTTGTATTTTTACTGAAATTGAGATGTGTTTTCCTAGTTCCCTGGTCAGATGTAATTCTTGCTAAACTACCTTTCATCTGTACGTTTTAAGAGAAACACTTCTTTTCAAATTCAGAGTTATTTAAAACTACAGTGAACTAGTTGCTGAGGTAAACAAGATCTGGAAATAACAAAATTAGTTTTCTATACTTGCAAAGATATACCTGCCGTCAAATCTTGTTTCATCTTTGTAGCAGACTGACTTCAAATGCTTATCTAGTTAGCTTTYTTTAAGATCAATAGTTAAATATTTTATAGTAGAGTTTTATATATGTATTATTATTGGTTGTGTTTCTATTGTTATTATTTATAATTTTGTAGAAATTATATATATACTCAGACTTTACGGTGAATTACTTGTCATTGCAAATATGGTAAGGCTTTTGACAAGCAGCTGTWATGCTTTGTTTTCTTCAGAATGTCTCATAGCATTGTACTCATTTGAACACAGACAAGGGTAATGCAGAGGTTACATATGCATTTAATGTCAGCTGAGTGGAGGATAAAAGGGGGAAAAGTTACCAGAATTTTACTCAAGGAATCACTTCTCCTCTCCTTTAGCATGTCCCTTTGGTTTCAGCCAAGTGTCTTTCATGTTCTGTGTCCCAGGTCAGCTGCCACCCGAAGACATGCCAAAGCACTCCTCTTTCCTCTTGATTGAGTATAGCTGTCTCTCTGCAATAACATTTATAAATGTGACATCTTGCTGAATATTAAATGTGTCTTTTTCCTCTAACAGATGAATTCAAAGGACACTCTCTACTGCAAGCAGCCAGAGAGGCAGACCTAGCCAAAGTGAAAAAGACACTCGCTTTGGAGATCATTAATTTTAAGCAGCCACAGTCGCATGAGACTGCACTGGTGAGATTATACAGTCAATCCATTTGCTTTATGATAAATGTGCTGCCAGCCTGGAGTCAAGGAGTTTTACTTCTACACTATGAAAATACATTCATCATCTGAGATGTAGAATTTGCCATTGAACACTTTCTATACTAAAATAAAATTGCCATTATAGAAAAAAACACCATATAATTTATTTTATCACTTTTCCCCTTCCTTTTGGTAGAGTAAAGAAACTCTGCAGCCACACCTTTTCATTTTTCCCTTCTCTTGTATTTGTTCCCATAAACCTTTTCTTTTATTGGTTGGTTGCTGTGGTTGATTATRGGGTTAAATTTTATTTCTGTAGCCCAGTGTTTCCTTCATGTTTTATGTGGGCAAATTTAGATTACAAATTTTCTTCATAAGGTATGTAAAATTGTGGTGAAAATAGCTGTATATCACAGGTCTTACAGTTTTGGAATAATAGTGACAATACCACATYAGCTATAGAAACAGGGTTCTTTGAGACTTTAGTGGCATTATCCTGCTCTTATTTCATTGTTTGAAGAAGCAGTGGAAGCAAAGAACACAGCCAGTGTCCCTGATGCACGGAAGACTTTGAAGCTGAGACTGGTGATATTATTAAAACCACTAAGGTTATGATATTTACTTCCAATGGAACTTTTTTYTTTTGCAGTGATAGGTCTCAGCTGCAGGCATACAGCTGCATATTTAGTTTTAGAAACATTGTGATCTGAACATTGCATGTTGGGTACCAATCATCCATATGCTCTGTTTCCGCCGTGGAGGACTCAGCATCCTAGCCTGAAGTTAGAGGCAAGATAGAGAACAGAGATTTGCAGGCTGAATGTGAAGACAGTATGAAATCTGGGATGGTGTTATTCTTTTATTTCTGAGTGTGTCAGCTGCTGCTATGTGGCATCTCTTTATCTGGATAATGATCACTTCATAGTCCTGCGATGTTCTTTGCTCTTTTCCTCCTGCTGATTCTGCAGGGGTAGCTGGGCCAAGTGGGATATTTTAGCTCTATTGATGTATTTGGTTCACTGTTCACAATGTGCTTGACTGTTATTTTTCAGTTTTTGGCTGACATACTTGTGATTTCCAAGTTGTCTCCAGTCCAAGAGGAAGGACTTAGCTTCCAGGATCAGATGAGGTTATATGTGACCTAACTGAGCTATTCCTGCRTGATATCATTTACCACGGGCTACTGGGGTCTCTGCTCTATTAGCCAAAAGGCCAAAGCAAGCACTGGGCTTAGGTTTCAGTGTTGCTTTGAAGTTTGGCAGTATTTCAGCATTTGTGTGTTTTAGGGTTTGTTTGTCATATTGGCAGGAAATATATACAGGATATTATCTGCAAAGCCTTAAAAATGCTGCCACCCTTCAGAGCAGAAGTTGATCTTAATGTTTATTTACAAAGCTTGCCTTTGCAAAATTTGGATGTGCCCAGCTGAGTAGCAGCAGTGTGAAAGCTTGAGTGAAAGTTACTTCATGATGAAGGCTGAAATTGGGCAAAAGATGGTTGTTGGTACTGGTGCTGCCTGTTAGTAGTGGGTTTGGGGTCTGTCTGAKTGTAAAGGCTATTTTGCTATTGGGAAGTTGGAGAACTCTTCCATGAGATCATCTGCCTTTTATGGCTTACTGTTTTAAAATGTGGGTAAGAATATAAACAGAAATATCCAATAGTTTCTCCTGTTTCTCATAGTCTGCTATTTTGAGGTATCCAAACATGAAACAAGCATTTCTGGACTGATTTTAAAGCCAGGTGTTCAACCTTATCTGGAACCATGCTGGTAATTCCAGGATTCAGAAATGCATTTGATAGGCCCACTGTTGATAAACCAACAGATGCCAGCCACTTTTAGGAGAGCAGTTACATCTGGTAGAGCTGTGTGGTCCCACAAGGACAGGCAGGAGTATTGAAAAGCTCTGTGTGAAGGGTGTTACTTTCTCATAGCATGGAAAAAACATACTCTAAGAGAAATGCATTGCCTGTTTGCCCATTACATAATCTGTACCTTGGTGCATATCACAAATGCCATGAACAAGGTCTGTACACACTGGAGCAGAAGAAGAAACAAGGCAACATTCAAGTCCTGTCAGTCTGAGAACTGCAGCAGAATCCTACYGGACCCCTTTGGAGACCCTCTGTAGAAACTCTTTGTCTTCCCCWCCTTTGTGCATTATGTGTTAGCTTTGTCCTGATAGCTGCTTTAYATAGTTGGGACCATGCTGCTTTTTGCCTATGTGACAAATAGCTTTAAAATGAATTTTKTTTTGCTGAGTTGAATAATTTAGCATTGATTACTAACCTGTATTTTGTTCACCATGATGAATTTTGTTGGCAAATTTTGTAGTCTGATTTTAGCAGAATTATTAAGAGATGAAGTAATGTGTCCTTAAAGTTCTTTATCATCTGTGTAGTTAAAATATTATTTATGTTTACTTTTTTTGCAGCATTGTGCTGTGGCTGCTGTGCACCCCAAGAGGAAACAAGTTACAGAGCTGTTRCTCAGGAAAGGAGCAAATGTAAACGAGAAAAACAAAGAGTAGGTTTCTGAAATGTTTGGATTTTCCAAAGGCCTCTGTCATACTRGGAATGTAAAACTAATATATTGCTTTTTTTTCACCCCTCTAGTTTCATGACACCTTTACATGTTGCAGCTGAAAAAGCTCATAATGATGTCATGGAAGTTCTGCATAAACATGGAGCAAAGGTAAATATATTTACATGTATTTTATTTAAARCAAAAGGCAAGAAGAAGGGTTATGTTGGTTAAATACCATGTAAGTTTTTATGATAGTTACTGCTTTTTTCTGTATGCCTTGTTCTTGTTGTGTTAATCTTGAAGTGTGTTTATCTGAAATAATGACAGGATCTTCAGGACTCCTATTTGAAAATTACTTCTCTCCAAGTAGCTGAATACAGRCTTTACTCGTTTTTAATGAATCTTGCTGCTAATTTCTAATAAATGTGGTTATCAACAACCTCGTGTTGCTTTATCTTGTTGGCTTGAAAATACCCAGTGCCTGAGGGTACTGACACTGAGTTTAGTATTCTCATGCTGAGTATCCCTTAGCCCTTGCTTGCTTCCTACTCTMTTAGTCAGATTGTTTTGCTGTGCCCTTTAGCTGTTTGTAGGTGCTGACCTAAGTGATTTGTGAGTTAATGGTGAAGCTTGCTTAGAAATACATTGTTCAGCAARTTATTAAAGGCAGAGGAAAGCACTACTAAATTTATTTAGAATGTGGTTTAACCATCTTTCAGAGGTGTTTCTGAATTACCTTTCTACAAGTTTTAGCAGTAAACCTAACATTCGTGCTAATTATATATGTCACTATGTAATTTTCTCAGAAACTCTTTTTSATGGGTACTTCTTTTCATTGATTAAAATATAAAAGGTCTCCTTATTTTTGCTTTGAATGGAGCTCAGATTACTCTTTTTGAGTCTTCTTAATTCAGGGAGCTTGGAATGAGGAACTCATTGTTCTGAATTATTACCTGCCATATTATGTTATTGCCTGTAATAACAATCTAGTGTCACTTGCCATGATAGGAGGTATAAGCAATGTAGTTGCATAGTTTTTTATTTTGAAACTATGARTTTTAATTTATAAGCCTATATGAGAGCTCGCTGCCATGATTCACTTCCATAGTACTTCAATGTCATCATAAAATATCTTAACAACAATACCATAGCAGAGTTTATCGCATTCGAGGATCCTAATACCCTGGTGACTGCCAAGTTTTTCCGATGTGGGAAAGAAAGGCTAAAGTTCTTGATTGGTGGTCATTAAAACTATTCATTATTATTTTCCCAGATTCACTCTTAGTAGCATACCTATGCACTGAAAGATAAAAACATTCATTTTGCTATGGGCATGAATACCTCATGTCTTTATGGGTCTGATTTTGCACAGGAATTCAGTACTGATGGTATTTGGTTAGGCACTGAACTGGGTATGCTGGAGTTTCAAATGTACTGATACCRAAGTACTACCTCCTTTGAAACACAAGGAGCTTCTGTGTGCTGCTAGGTATTTAAATTAGTGCTCCCTTGAAAATCTAGCTCAGTTGTTGTCAGGTTAAGAGTAAGCTGAAAGATGACATCCTTACTAGAATGGATCCATTTTGTTTTTCTCAGTAGCACATTCTGATATYACCTTATAATTCTTCTATATCCTGAAACAGGGCTTCCTAAATCATGATTTGTGAGTCACTTGAGGACTGACTAATGGTGATGAGTGGTCCCAGTTATCTACRGAATTATGCTGGGTTGTGTGTTCTGTTGCTTACTCTGTTGGCAGTATGTAAATAGAGATGCATGGTGATCATTAAACCTCATTCTTCATTCATATCCTATATCCTATGTTATTCTGAAGATAGGCCATTCACATTTATGATCTAGCAGAGCACTTAAGTACATGGCAGGAGACCAATCAAAGTTAATATTAAATATGTATTTCCATACTGCAATGGATCAGTGTCCAAAGTTTCTTAGCTGTAAAATAGTAAATAATGTAACCATAATTTTTAATGAGAGGTAGATCATTAAGGCTTYATGAGGCACTTTGAAGTTCCCAGATGGGATATGCTCGAGAGTATTCATTAGTTAACTAAGCATATTTAATCACTCTAAAATGTTTGTCTTGCTTATATATTATCATTTGACCTCTTGCTCATGCTTTTACTGTAGGCTTTCGGTTCATCAGATACTCTTGACATTGATATGTCTTTGTTTCTGATTGCTGGGACATGGCACCTTTCATCCCYGAAGCATGAGACATGTTTTGATTTTTCTTTTGTTGTGTTTTTGGAAGTATTTCCCTTCGTGTTTTCTCTTTTTGTGTCTTGAATTTTAGTTACTTGATAAGATGTGATCAGATGTCCTGGTAGCTCTTTGATCGTGTCTGATTGTATTTTTTCAAGAGAGGGTGAGCTGGTGAATCCAGTCCCCTTGCAATAGCAGCCTCACAGTGAGGATCCATTTGCTCTTTAAACTGCACAGTCCTGTGTTTTAAATACCTCTCTTCCTATTTGATGCTTCCTTCWGGGAGGTAGTTGCAGTGAACTGATTCTTCTTAGCCTTTGTTTTGSTAGACTAAAACACTTAGTCTTCCCTCATAAGGGAATATTGTGTTTTCCTGTTTGTCCTTATAACCCCTTTTCTTTACTAGCACYAGAGGAAATCTTGGGAGTTCAGGCAACAAGAGCAGAATTCATTTCCCCACTGCCTTCCATGATGCCACTTCCATATCTCTTTTGAAAGTACCTGACTCATGCATACTGGAATCAAATTTGCCTTTTTAATGGACATAAGACAGTAGTACTTATATCCTTCCTGTAATTTTGTAGTGCACAGAGAGTCCTGATATATTTTTTTTGCTAGTATTTTRTATTTGTGCTTGTCAGCACAATTCTCCTGTGCTACGGTCATTAATGCAAATAGTAAAACAAAATTATCCATAAGGTCACCAAGCAGCCTTCCCATTTRAAATAGAGGGGTTTTCAACCAATCTCTATTTTTTCAATATAAAATAAAAATTTTCCAATGTGTTATAAAATGCTTACTGAAGTGTACATGGATGACACCTCCTACCATGTATGTTTTTTTTTACTTTGCAGCCATTTCTTTTGTCRAAGTAGAGGTACTGTAAAAGTCAGTTTTAATCTCCCTTCTGGAAACCACTACTGACTACTGAGGGAGTAACAATTTGAAAAAGATGTGTAATTAGGTCTTCAAAGAAAGTAGAACTTTCTTCTTCTGAAATTCCATGACAAAAGGCAGACAGCTGATACACGAAATAACCAGYAATAATAGCTTTAGGAGACAAAGTAATATGAAGTTCTGTAGATTGAAAATTATTATTGTTTTAGCAGTAGATAGGAAATCCTGTTTTCATGAAGAGCAACTGTGTCAGACAACAAAAGTGAGCTACAGTGAAGTATGTATGTGTAGCATATCTTATTCTGTGAGAAGGGCTAAAGCATGATAAAGACTGCTTTAGGGAATTTGGGATGAGCAAGAGATAGTTTGTGGTCTTGGAGCTGGATTTAATTATCCTTAATGTTATCWCTGTTTGCTATTTGAACTCCATTTGATGATAATAAACAGTGAAGGACTGTTTGAATAACATGTAGCTTGATCAAGACTTATTTTACAGAAAGAACATCTAAGAACTTRKATCTYTTCTCTGTGGTGATCAGTGACAGGACCTGAGGGAATGGCCTGAAGCTGAKTCAGGGGAGTTTAGGCTGGATATTCRGAAAAYGTTCTTCACTCAGAGGGTTGGTTGGGCAGTAGAACAGGCTCCCCAGGGGAGTGGTCACAGCACYGAGTTCAAGAAGCTTTTGGACAATGCTCTCAGGCCCACAGTGGGATTTTTGAGATGTCCTGTGTAGAGGCAGGTCCCATYGATGATCCTGATGGGTCTCTTCCAATTCAGCATCWTCTGTGATTCTGTGATTTGTGTTGGCAAGAATTAACCTATTRGTAAGCAATTAACCACAAATCGCTTATTTTGATGTGTCTTGCTGGCCCTTAGTGACAGCATAGACTGGGTTCCTRATTTGACCTGTGAAGATGTCCTCAGTGCACATCACTTGCACATCAGTTTGTTATATCTAAGCATCACGCATTCCATGGAAAATATTTTCACTAGCTTGGTACTTGAGTTTGCAGAAGTTGACTGTCATTTTAAAGAATAGGTGAGARACCTTTGGGATTTCTTAGAATTTTCTTCAAGAATGTTCATAAGTATTTGTGGTTTTAAATGCCAATTTTACATGTTTGCCTGCACTACAGTATGAGACAGCATTTCACACCACTGCTTATTTGATGTTGAATATGAAGTACCATATGAAAAGTAAAAGCAGAGCATCTTCAAAGAATCCTCAAGCATAAACACTTTTTATTAGACCCATGATCAAATCTTCAAATGCCATGATTTTATCTTTGAAGATGATCAAAATTTTTAGCTTAAAAAATACTTCARTGGTGGTGAACTAGTGAAAATGTGATTTTCATCCTGTTTTGTTGTATTTCTAGGTTAGTATTTCATAGATTAAGCCCTTGTCCGAATTTACAGATACATGGGAAATTAATGTGTTCAGAAAGATACTCAGCTTTCTAGTAGTGCCAAAGTAAAAGATCAGAGTATTTTTGGAACTGGAAGAATTGTTGGAAAGGAAGACCTGCAAGCATGGAAGTTCACTTGTGTTTTGGGCAAGTGTAGAGATGTCATGAATGCTCTTTAATTGTGATATGCCTCTAAAGGATACATATTCTTCTGCAAGAGAAAACGAGCCTTTATAAGGTCATGTCAGAGAAACAGTGTCCCTATTTGTGATGGTAGCAGAAATTATTTCATTCTGCTCTGCTGGGAGGATCTTGCTTGATGCATCTTTGCATAATGCAATTTCTGTGCATTGGAGTAGCATGTTGCCAGCTTTTCATGATCATGGATTTGCAAATGCTCACCGTCCATCTAGACCCACACAACAAACTGAAATGTCTTTGAATAACCTTGTTTTATAGCACATTCCCTTCTAATATTTCAAGTAGACATATGACTTTCTCAGGAAACAGTAAGAATTGAAAAATTAAATTGCCTATTAGAAATGCAGCAGATACTAGACTATGATGGTTAACTACATAAAGAKCTGTGTGATCTATTGTGATTGAGTGGTTCAACTTTTCTCACTGCTTAGACAGCCAAACATCCTGATGTTAAGCTTTTATGCAGAAGGGTAATTGTGGAACATCTGTGGATCATATAGGAGCTTTCAGAATGAAATTGACCCTTTTGTGTGCTTTTTCCTGCTGATCGAGCGTGGAGTTGTCACCAGTGCTTCTTCACTCCTATCCTATTTATTGTTAGACAACAAGGCACAAGACTGCAAGTTTGTCTTCAGAATTAATGCAGAAGGAGAGCAGTTAGAGCACTTACATAGCAGGGAAGGATACTGTGATACTGGAACTGCTGGCAGAGCACAAGTTTCGTGTGTGGTTTTTAAAATGTACATCTTTTAAAAAGATTTCACAGAGGAAATTGCAGTGCGTGGAAGCTGTTGTTTTTTGTGCTGCTGTATGTAGTGTGTCAGTGAGTAGGAGGATATTTAGGGCACTTGATCTTGAYAGAAAACTTGATATGATTATGAAGTCTTGCAAAAAATGTTTCCTGAACAGATCTGAGCTGTTGAGCTGCCACAAGTGTATGGCATCCAAGGGAATATTGCTGTAACTGTGTACRCTGCTCCAGGAGAGCAGCAGTGGGGGAAGGCATAATCTCAGTAGTGTCTGATGATACATGAACATTTCCATTTCTCTACAGTGCCCATTCAGGTTGGGGAAAAGGAAATTAATGGAGTGACAGGAAAGAACAGAAGCAAGATGGCATTGGGAAATACTGTATATAGGACAGTATCTATCTTTGAAAACCCTTACTTCCAATTTTTTTTCAATTGATAACTGCTTTTATGCTGCATTTTTATATTCTGCTTTTATGTTGTATTTTGAGCAGTGGAATGACTGCTTTCATGCTAAAAGGTGAAGAAACTGGATCCAGAGCCAGTGTTCTGTGGAATAAAAGCTGTCAAAGTTGTAATTTTTAACTCCTTGCAGAAAACTTKCCTGTAAGATAATTCAGAGCTACAGCCTTCTAATTTCAGCCTTCTTATAAARGGGTCCAAATGAATATTTATCTTTTTTTATAAGTGCAGCTGGAACAATCTGCCTTCTCAGTGCACCAGTAASGCAGTACAACCTGGATATTTCAAATTTTGTCAAACAGAGTTTAAACTTTAGCTTTGAATTTGAAAGTACATATATTTTTAGACCTGGTCTTGAACCCAGGCATGGTTTTTGTAAGACTTTAATCTATTTTTTACTTCAATTTGTAGTGATTTTAATTTAGAAGTAAATCCTGTTGCTTTCAGATGTAGTTTATTTTAATTTAGAAGTAAATCCTGTTGCTTTCAGCCTTAGTGGAGTACATTCTTTGATTGGTTTTAGAGAAGTTGTGCATTATTGATAAGAGAAGATCTGCCCCAAAGGGGCATAGTCTCAATGGCATTGYTCTGCAAAGCCTAATTCTGCTCCAGAGGGAAAGAGCAGCTGCATTTGGTTCATCCATCCCTCTGTCAGCTGCAACCCTGTTTGTCTCAGAAGTAAGCAGGTATTTCTTCAAATGGCTGATGTTCTTCTGCCAGAAGAATTGATTGTTGGGAAAGATAATGATTGGATGTAAAAGGAGATCTGGATAAGACATATGAGATGATGGCTCTGATGACTCTGAGAGTGTTCTTTTCAAATGAATATTAATATTTTTTCCAGGGACATAGTATCAGATTGTGCACAATGAATGCCTTGCTGCTATTGCTTCTACAATTTGTCCAATACGGGCGTGTTTAACACAGGAATTCAGTGTTAAAGAGTACATTACTTAGGATTTTCTTTACTGGATGAGCAGAGTGTTATCAGCTAATTCCAGAATCCAAAAATTTAATTTTATTCTGCCTTCACCATCCCTAAACGTGTGTAGCCCCAGACTTCTGCCTACCTCTGTGCCCATATCAGTGGTGAAAAGTATCTGGTGTCCTGAAACAGATGATCATCATCTGAACAAAATGATGGATTTGGGACATTCAGCAGCTAATTAGTATTTACGATAGCAGTAAGTTTTTTATTTGAAACAAAAATTTTAGGGCAATCCCATTAGAGCTGCATGAGCTGAGCACAGTTAGAAGAAAGCAGACCTATTCTCCTGTCCGTCTTGCTGCAAGAGAGGTTTGTGATCTGAGAAATTCCTGCTTTATCAGTCTGTAAAATAATTTTAGACAATATCAAATCATACCCTTTATTTATGTGGTTGTTCTTTCCCTTGGCTTGAGATTGCAGTATTGCAGGTATTTTACTTAATTTTTTTACGTTATCTGTTAGTAGATCTTTGCATAGTTAATTTCATGTAGTTAAATTTCATGTAGTTATAGAATATGTATCTTAACCAAAATGCTTTTCTGCTAGTTTTCATGGAAAGCTAGTAGGGTTTGCATGCAGCATTTTACRTGAGAAATAGCAAGCAAAACCTTTGTTTGCTGCCACCACAAAGATTCTGAGAAGGCAAAAAGGTGGCTTTTTTACAGTAACAAAGTTTATTAKGCATGCAGTTCACAGGCTGCAATCTGTAGGCTTGGGAACAGATAACAGGTTCTGAGTTACTTGCAGAAAATATAGAGTAGTTCTGTGTGTCATAAAGTGGTAAAAAAGCTGTTGGGCATTTGCATTTAAATTTGTCATGAATTGCTGCTAGGTAAGAGTATCTTCTTGAAAGGTTATTTTCATGGGGGAGTTTTTCTGCTTTTTAAAGCTCTCCATTCTTCTCTTCCTTTCTTCAATAGTGCACTGGGGGAGATGCTTCTAGTTATTTAGGTACWCTGTTAGATCTTTACAGGCAGATATGTTTCCATTATATCATCCTCTTTGAAAATGATACTCCATTTTGCCTGTTTATACAGCATTGTATTGAGAAGAATTATATCCAGATATACTTAACACTTCGGTAAAGGCACAAAAAGGGAAGAGGAAATGTTTGTATTCAACTTTTTCCCACCCCCAATTCTTTYCATATAATTCCTAATTTGGCATCTTTTTTGCATTAATTCTTGATAGTGGGTAATGTTGAGTTATTCTCCTTCTGACAATGACAGATGGTAATTTCCTTAAAGCTGTAAGATCTTTGAACTGTTTGGTAACAATTGACGTCAAGTTACCTCTTTCTCCTTCTCTGTGATAGTTTTGCTTTTCTTGCACAAGGTTGGTCTTTATCAGATTTGTCAAAAGTTTGATCACTATTTAAAGTATGGTTTTGGRGATCCTATGTTGTCTGCTAGCCACACAAACAAATAACCTGTGTTGCTAAAAGACAGGAGAACATCTGTGGTAAATTGTTTTTCCTTTGGAGTGTATGCATGTTTTGTCATTTGTTTTTTTTTAATTGCAGTGCAGTAGAATTGATCGATAAATTTGTATGCCAGAAAATTCTTCCTTTTGCTCTTCTTATTAAGGASAGGGACAGGTGCAGCCTTTTAATTGCAACAGTATTTGATTTTACATTGCTGCTYCTTTTTCAGATGAATGCGCTGGACACACTTGGGCAGACAGCGTTGCACAGGGCTGCRTTAGCAGGGCACTTGCAGACCTGCCGGCTGCTGCTGAGTTACGGCTCCGATCCCTCCATCATCTCYTTGCAAGGCTTCACAGCAGCACAGATGGGAAATGAAGCAGTGCAACAGATTTTAAGTGGTGGGTAAAAAGAAAGGCTTGTGTATTTGAACTTCAGCTTCTCCCTTTACAGCTTTGAATCTTACTTCTTCTTYAATGAAAGAGACTTGCAGTGGTTTTCTCATCTCTGTCATCAAGGGCACACAACTACAGTACATATTGGATATGTCAGAAAATAAATAAATAGCTCTGCTCAGTTCAGTGGTTTTGTGCTAATTGGGAAGAAAATAACTACCTTGTGGATTTAGAACATGCTGCTGTACAAGGAGATTTTAGGAAGGCACATATAGGGAATTTTGGGATTCTTTTGGTAACAAATTCCAAGGCAACTGGAATATTGCTGATYTTGTAAGAAACCTTTTTCCCTGCATCAGGCGCCCTACCCTGTTAGGTGCTCCATACTTTAGCAGTCACAAGCAGAGTGTTGCTGGCAGAAAAACACTGATAGTTGCTAAACTGTTTGAATTTTTAACTTCAAATCTCTCACTTGTCCGCCAGAGAAGGATTTTGTYGTGAAAGTGCTCTGGATACTACTTAGATGACAATTTGTTTATATCTTGCATTAAAAAGGTGAATAGATGTTTGAAGAGGGTGCCACTATTTTTCATGTAAACACTTAACAGTTTACTTTCTCTCACCCATGTAACATTTGAATTTTTGCAAGTACAGAGAAGAATAATTGCATCAGTACGTACTACAGAGCAAGTAACTCACTGAGTTGTGTAGGTAGTCAAACAAAGGCAGATATCCAGATAGACGAGAAGGTCCATGGCAGGTAGAAACTCAATTTCCTTCAGTGTTTTCAACAATATTGCCTTAAAACAGGACAAAAATAAGAAAAAAGCATTTTACAGCAGTGCAAGGAAGGACTGTTTTGAAGTGTACTCACTCCTGAGATGTAGCTGGTTGTGCAGGTAGCATTACTTGTTAAAATGTGCACATGAATGTATGTATCTGGACTGAGAAAAAAGAATGTTGTCAGAATAATGTCAGCTATGGAGTCAAAATCTGACTGGTTTGCTCTAAAACTAAGGCCCCTTATTCAGCCATTTTGGCAATATGARCTTGAATATTACAACCCCAGCTGCGTTTGCTCAAGTAACACCAGACCAACTGCAGCCCCCCAAGTTTGGAAAATATGTTGAACACAAATTATTATAACTTAATTATCCTAAGTAATCCCAAACCATCTTTTTCCACATGCAGAAAGCACACCTGTGCGCACATCRGATGTGGATTATCGGTTATTAGAAGCATCCAAAGCTGGAGACTTGGAAACTGTGAAGGTAGGTTTGAGCAGTTCATGTGAATTTTCCACTTTGCATTGCTGTTCAAGACTTGGGGAAGCCTCTGCTGCATGAGTTGTAGAAGCAATGCCCAACTGATGGTAAATCATAAAAAATCAGAAGGCATGGATCTTTCTATTTCTTCTTCTATACAGTAGTTCATTAAGATGTACTGAGGTGTGTTTCTCTTGAGTTTCCGCTCGTTTATTCTGCCAGTCCTTCACACAGTCAGGTCTGATGGACTCAGATTTAGCCATAATTTTTTGAGGGGGTTGTGTGATCCTCAGAATCACAGTTTAGTAGAAAAAAGCCCTCAGGTGTATGATTCAATCATATGGCAAGCAAACACTGTGAATAAGTAGCAGACTTCATGTTTTAACCATCTTTAATCTGATGGTGAAGGGTCAGGCTATGGAATCCCAACATTACAAGAAGGTTTGATCTTGTCTTTGACGCTTGGTCTGTGGACAAAGAATCCTTCAGATAGACTGTTGCGCATACTTTGCCACCTTGAACTTCAACATGATATATATTAATATTCAAATAGCAACAGTTTTGTGCACCAGCWGTTCCTCTGACTGCTAGGCTAAATGTTTCTAGTTTTCTGAAGGCAATATAGGCTGGAAATGGTAGTATATCTGGAGAAAGTTACATGGCCTTACTTTCATCGTTTAAGTCTTGTTTGTTGTAGAAGTGCTTTCAGCTAAAAATTCAGAGCAGCCATTTTTTAACTTTGCGTAAGTAGAAAGAAATTTCTTGATACTTAAAAAAAATTGTATATAGTAAGTGGATCAGATTTTGTGTTGGGGTCTTTGGAGATGATAATTTAGTTCTTTTCAGTTTGTTTGTTTCATGTTTTGTTATTGCTGTTTGGTTTTCTGGAGTTTTTTATTTGGTAATTTTRGTTCTGTACTAGATTTTGGGTTCTTTTGTCTTCACAGCAACTTTGCAGCCCTCAGAATGTGAATTGCAGAGATTTGGAAGGCCGTCACTCAACACCACTGCACTTTGCTGCAGGATATAACCGCGTATCAGTGGTGGAGTATCTCTTGCACCATGGAGCAGATGTGCATGCCAAAGATAAAGGGTACATTACATTCCATTATATGTTCTGCTGTTCTGTCTTAGTGTGAGACTTACATTCCACCTATTCATTTTGCTTCAGATTTCAGTGAYCATCGTGTTTTTCTGTTGAACATTTTTCTCTTTCTTGCTTGTTCTCCATTGTTCCTGTGCTGTAGAGAGATTGGTAGAGCCTTACAGCATACTTTGCTTTCTGGAAAAGCTGTTATCAAGTACATATCTGGCCCTGTAATACATGACRCTTCTTCCTTTTGCCCATTTTGGAGACTTTGTTTTGCTTAAAAGTGGCCTTGAACTTGTTTTAGGTGRTCTAAAATTAGTTTTGAATAAAATGGGGTAAAATACTAAGGTTTTCTCTGGTCATTTTTCTAATTCTATTAGTTAGCTTTTATTATCAGGTTAGTTATTTTTTCAGTTAATATTCARTAAAACCATTTACAGGCTTTTGCATTAATTGTTAACAGCATGGTTGTGTTTGATCTTTTATTCCAATATATTAGTTGAGGATGGGGGAGAATTAATTTCCAATACTGGATTTTCAGGCTTACCCTGTAAGAAGTGTTTAGGTTTCTATCAGATGTGCAGTACTTACCAATAACTGCATTTCAGACACATTATATAATGTTCTATCTTTCTTGAAATTTACACTCAAATATCCAAACTCAGAACAACGAGTTTTGCAATTTAGTTTTTGTCAGCGTGAAGTTACTTGATTGTGGAAGCAGTAAGACTTGGGCTTGCTAAGTACTTTAAGTCTTGCGGATAAGAACTGAAGGAGTATAATTAAGGTTTAATTGATGTTTTAATAGCAGAGAAATAAAGCCATGAAAACTGGAACGACTGAAAGATAACAGTAATGTCTGCTGAAAGTGRGAGTTTTATCTACTGAAACTTGGTATAATTGCATATAGAATTTTATTCTCTAGCTATTAATGCTTTCTCTTTGATTAGTGGCTTAGTACCCCTACACAATGCCTGTTCTTATGGACACTACGARGTGGCTGAACTCTTAGTGAGGCATGGTGCTTCTGTCAACGTAGCAGACCTGTGGAAATTCACTCCTCTACATGAAGCAGCAGCAAAAGGAAAATATGAAATCTGCAAACTGCTTTTAAAAGTATGTGCTGGAGTTCTCAGATGTGTCTTTAAATGCATATGTATTTATTTTTTCTGTAGAAACATTAATGCAAAGTAAATTGCATTCAGTGAATTCTTCATGGCATCTTTGAATCAATTTTCATCTTGCAATTGTCAGATGGTTTCTTGTGTAATATCATTCACTTAAAATGAATCATCAGTACAAGTACAATTTCCAGCATGTGTATTTATACTGTTAGCCAAATAGGACAAGACCCTGAAACTGGAAAAAAACAGCTGAATTTATGTAAAAATATGAACTCCCCACCTTGTGCTATCCATCCTTTTCTGAAACAGTTACTGCATTTAAGTAATTTTTTGTTAATACTTATGCAAGACTGTGTTACAAAGCAATAACTGAAGGTGGATCCTAATTGCTGTTTGGTATGAGAGAAATTTAAAACTGTTGTGTTAATGTATATTTAATCAAGCTCCTGGAGGAAATGCATGTTAATATCCTGTGGCATAAATATTCATTCTACTTAGAGGAAGAACCTGTAAAAAGCATGAGGTAATGCGAAAATGTTTCCAGTGAGAAACATGAGTTTGAGAAACTTCTTAACATAAGGTCAGATCATTCTGTGGGAGGGTGAAAGGGGGTGATAGAGTAGAATTTCTTGCCAATCTTGTTTCCTGTTTCAGCCTTGTCTGCTAATATCCCTCTGAAGCACAACATTTAAAACTGGAGAAAGTCAGAATGTGAATAGTCTTAAATTAATGAGGATCTTCCCCAGCCACTTTGCATTTGCTGCTGCAAAGCCCAAGTATTTCCCTCCTATCTTATTAATTATTTCACTTGATTACCAAAAAAGCAGGCAGAGAGAGAAGCATGATAGTTTGGAGCACATCTACAGCAGAAACCTGAAGATGTTCAGGGATGTCTGTGGAGAARGCATGGTGTGGCCTGTAACAACCTAATAGAGATGTTAGCTCAAGCTATAGGAACACTCGTAATCTCTCAAGCACAGTGTTGTATTATAGACACTGGAGATCTCTGGYCTTTTCTGATGATTCCACAGGGAGTTTAGCCATATTTTGTCTTCAAAGGATCCTGAATGGATGTACAACAGGAAATAGAAAAGTGCTGAAATTTAATTTTTAAAAATCACTCTTGCACAAGGGCTAGATATGCCCTTAAGGTGACACAGATGTAAAGTCCCTGGGTGTCTGTGGATATGTGCTCACACTGCAGTTTGCTCAGGGTTTCTCCTGCTGTGTCTCCTATGCCAGCTGGCAGTGCTGTCAGTTCTGCTGAGTTGTGGATGTTGAGCTTGACTCTCCCCGACTTGTGCTTCTTCTCTCTCTTCTGCTTGAAGAAGGAAACAAAAATAAACAGGCATTTTGGAGATACTGTCATTTTCATCACCTTTCTTCAAAATTAACACCTTCATTTGTTTCTGTGCTTTGGAAGGGGTCTCAGAGGAGGCCTCTTCATTCAGATATTTATTCTGGAGTATATTTGAGTAGTTACAATTTCGATGAGTTGTAAATTAAGGGATTTAAGGTCATATCTTGGAGAAGTCATTGCATTCTGAAAGGCTTTGTGCAAAGAATGCTCTCTTCCTAAAAGAGCCACAGATGTGGAACTGGTTCTGTGTAATCAATACACTGTCCCTTTCTGTCCCTTGCTCTTTATCCTTTAYACCACGAACACAGTTGTACTGCTTCCAAATACAAAGCAGTTAATTCCCTCTGTTCTCCCCATTCCCATCTTGTTCCCCATGGCTCACGCTAGCACAGCATTGCCAGCGTGTCCAGTGGGAAATGGCAGGGTAGAGTTGCTGGCAGGGATTGGACTACTGTGTTTGACTATTCCAAAGAGGTCAGCCAGGGAACTATAGTGCCAGCAGCTGCCTCTGCTTTATCAGTCTTTGTTTTTTCCCACTGCTGTGAGAGTGAATAGGGAAGGAGCTGTCCTCCCACAAAACTGAATGTGGATGTGACTCACACCATATGGTCTATGTAGTTGTATGTTCCCCTTCTCAGTCCCCTGTGCTTCAGTACTGTGTTCTTATCGCTGCCTGATCTGCATGTTTTACCAGYAGAGATACACTCCAGCAGTCATCCAACTCCACTTGTCCACCAAATTTTTTTTTTCACTGCTTTGAAAGCCCCTCATAAACTGCTTAAGATGGTGCTCTTACCTATTGGAAGATGTAGAGAAGAGTATTTTTCTAGTTCCCTTCTCAAACAAATGCCTTTCAATATCAGGGTGGCATTTAGTAAACCTCAGAGCCTGGCTTTGCTAGCTCAGAAGTTGTGCTCAGGAAATACCTCTGCCAGCCATCTGATTCCTGCCAGTTTTCAGGAGAAGAGGAGGACTGGCAGCRATGTACTTGCAGTTGGTTTTCCCTCACTACTGTGACAGTAGGAAATAGCTGTCTGCAGGAAATGCTCCTGAACATAATTCAGTTGCAAGTAGAGCTACTKGTAGCTCTTCCAGAGGGCTGCCATTCTTGCCTGTAGAGTTGAGATTCACACATCTCTGTTTCAGACGAGTGCTTTAGGCCTCAGCCTTCTGAATTTATTTTCATGTGCCTACTAATCTGTACAATTATTACTTCATTATGGTAGGTCAGCAAAATCCCACCTTCTTTCACAACAGTGACACACTTAGGTTCCCTGCTCTGTGCATGATTGTGACAGTAGCGTGCCACTTTGCTCTTTGCAGCATGGAGCTGATCCAACCAAAAAGAATCGAGATGGGAACACTCCTCTAGATTTGGTGAAAGAAGGGGACACAGATATCCAGGATCTGCTGCGAGGAGATGCTGCCTTGCTAGATGCTGCCAAGAAGGGGTGCCTGGCACGAGTGCAGAAGCTGTGTACTCAAGAAAATATCAATTGCAGAGACACCCAGGGAAGAAATTCGACACCACTGCATCTCGCAGGTGGGTAACACACCAGGTTTACATATTTAGGGTAGGGCTACAGATGTAATTTGCCAAAAGGATTGGTATAGGAAGAGTTTCACAGAGAATTGTCCTATGGCACCTGTATTTTGGGAGTTAATAGAGTTACTGGGAAGGAGGAATTTTTGCAGTTGAAAAATTGCCTTAGCTTTCCTGTCTAATATTTTTCCTTAGTTTAGCTCTCCTAACACTGGATTTCTTTTCCTGTGCCTTTTCTACAGCTGGTTACAACAATTTGGAAGTAGCTGAATACCTTCTTGAGCATGGTGCTGATGTTAATGCCCAAGACAAAGGAGGATTAATCCCCCTACACAATGCAGCATCCTATGGGGTAGGTACAGGCATTCTTGCCATGAGTAGAACAGCAAGGAACTCCTTGAAGTCATATCTAAAGCCAGTTATTTTGCAGCTGTTTTGCTGTGAACATAGTTCAGGTTTTGATGGCATGAAATACATGGTGGGCTAAGTTGCTTTTGTGACTCCTGTTTGCAGTCCTACATGTTCAACAAGACAAATTCAGGTGTGCTTTAGGAGTTAAAGTCTGCAGTTTGGAAAGATCGCTACAACGTACCTTTTATGCAGGCAAGCAGATGCAGAGGATTGAACAGGGTTAAGTTTGAGGTGATACTTGAAACAGAACTCAAGTTRGCTCTGAAAAACTTCGATGGAAGGAAGAGAAAAATACCCAGGGATCATGTGCAGATGATGACAGGGAAGTGGAGGTTGGAGGTCTGTTACAGCTGATGTTTGGTGGGAGTCTAAAGCTAGAGCTGAAGTGTTGAAAGACTACTGGGTTTGTAATGTGGTCGTCCTCCTGGGCAAGCCACCTGCTGCAGGGATGTGCAGTGGCAGATTCAAACCATTTTGGATTAGGCGGGCCCTCCTTCGTCCATATAGGAGTACGTGTCTGTGTACCAGTTGCACAGATGCCTGATAGATTGCTTATAAGCAGTTTTCAGCTGTGGATTGGTGAGAAAAACCTCTTGTAAATAATTGTACAGAAATGGTGTTTGAGAGGTGCCTGGCTCTGTGCTTACAGTCAGAGGACATGAAGCTCAAGAAGTAGTGGGTTTGATGGTCTCATGGTATGCTTTGTCTATTACTTACCTGGCCCTGGCACAAATACAGTAAAATCTGRGAGAGATTGTCATAATGTAACCACAATTGCTTTTGTTTGAGAGCAAATGAAATAAAAACTGCAGTGTTCACCTTTTTTTTTAAAGAGTGTCAATGGACTATATTGGTTCTTTACGTTACTCTGGGATCCCAGTGGCCTAAAGAGCAAAAAGTCCCAAATCCTAATGAAAGATTAGAAATGCTATATAGCATTCTTATATGTTACTGGATCCTAATACCAAGCAATATTGTTTATCAGCATCTGCCATAAGCATTAATTGCCAGAATGTTGCTTAGATCTAGAGATAAATTCTGTTGCAAATATTATGATCTTTTTATTTGAGAAACCAAAACACACATTTTACACAAAGTCAAAGCATTCCTTATTGGCGTAGAGAAATGTCAGAGATTGGTTTTAGCTGATTATACTTCTAAAAACCATAATGCCAATTTAATCTGATTGCCTTGCTTTCTCTAGGAAACATTAAAAAGGCARTGTTTGGTGTTTTTCCATCAGCTTATGTAGTTAAGAGTTGCTGCATACCTTTCCTGGCATCCCACACTTCTCTCTGAGCTGTCATCAGCCTGTTCAGAGCTCTGTGATGGGAGGTAGAGAAGAGATGAGTATTAGAATCACAAGTTCAAAGCTGGCAAGTTTCACAGGCTCTGCCTTTTCCTGACAAAGTTTCTTCAGTTCTCCCACCCAGCACTTCATGCCATGTGTCCCTCAATAGGGTTTTCTGTGGCAGAAAAATCACAGGAACAGCAATTGCTTTAAAAGTTTGGTGAAGAAGAAAAACAAAGTTGGCAGTATTTTCAAACCACACTTGTTCAGAGACCAAGCTGTTTTATGAGAGCTGCAAAGAGTCACTTAATTGCCATTGAGGGGAAAAAGGAAATCCATTGGCAAGTCTTCGTGCTTCTGATTACCATTTTAGTGTTTCATGTTCCTACTCACTCATTTTGACTATCTGCTTTTTTTTTCTTTGCTGTCGTGCACAAGAAAGACAGAGGTTAGACACAGCCAGGCAAAAWTTTCATTTTTAAATTTTCTATTCTCTTATTTTTACTTGGCAGACTTCAAGGATGGGATATTGATGAAAGCATGGAGTTATAAGTTCATTACTTTTATAGCCCATGTAAAACAGCTGTTCCTTGTGAYACTCATAATACATTTTATCAATTACAGTTCTCATAAAATATGATTGAAGATAAAGCAAATCTGTCCTGCCATGGATGAGTTCAAAGTCTTGCAAGAAAGAAAGTACAACAAAGATTTCTGTGTATGGAATGGGGTAACTCAGTTGATCTTCAGATCACAAATGTTGCAGCCCTGTAAATTTGCCAGTTCAAATTTGTCCACAGATAATTTTTTTATGTAGGATTAAGTGTCATGTCTGCTCTTGCAGCTGGCACATACTTCATGCTATGTACTTGGGGTGATTCAAGAGAAATCTGATTCTGTGCCTGATCCCAATTCTTCATGTGCTGGTGAATGATCTGGTGGTGCACAGACACAGATGACTGTAGAGCTGCAGTATAAACTGGTGCCTTGAGAAGTGTGCTGCTATGTAGACACAGGTGGCAGAATGAGTTACAGGAAAGAGAAACTACAGAGATCTCTATGCAGCAGTACCTCCAGCATGAAAAAGGAAATGTATGTTTTACCAGTGTTATGTTGATTAAGATGTTCTTGTGTTTTCCAGCATGTGGATATAGCAGCCCTGTTGATCAAATACAATACATGTGTAAATGCAACAGATAAATGGGCATTCACACCTTTGCATGAAGCTGCTCAAAAAGGAAGGACACAGCTCTGTGCTCTGCTGTTAGCTCATGGAGCAGATCCAACCATGAAGAACCAAGAGGGTCAGACACCACTAGACCTGGCAACAGTAAGTCATGTTAGGCAGCCACAGGCTGGACTGGAGGATTTACTCTGCATATTAAATTCATTTCTATGGCTCTGTGGCATCAGTGGTTCTCAGCTTCTGTTGTGCTGAGGTGGAGAGARAAGAGCATCTACCAAGTGCCTGTTTGTGGCTTTTTATCCATTGGTCCAGGCATTTTCCTTCAAATGAGATCTTAGCGTGGCTTGTTATTTAAGGTTTGCTTCTCCTGAAGGATTCATTCTTGGGCTCAATCTCATCATTCCCAGAAATAAAACTCTTTGCAATGTCTCTGATGATGGTCAGTTTGTGTACTGTTGGTGATTATTTCTTTGAACCTAGGAGGAACACCAGATGGCCCTTTACAGAAATGGGAACTTTCACTGGATGCCTGTTCTTAGTGCCTGCCTATTACCTCAGTTCKTTTTCTTTTTCCTAACTCCAAAACAGAGTTCAGTGATTTGTAGGTGGCTATCAAACTTTTTCTGGCATCTGTAAAATTTCTTGTAAGTGGTGGCTGGTTAAAAAGCCTAATAAGGTTTTATGAACATGTGCCTCAGGTTAATCAATCTTGATGGAATAGATAATGCAACCAAATTGGATGCTGTGTCTGGATACAGTGCAAGTATCTTTTAATGTTATTGATTTATTTACAAAGAGTTCAAGAAATAYCCTCCAGAGTAATCTGAGCTCTAGGAAATTTGCTGTGTGATGAAGGATATGAAAATTGTTTGATTTCTCTTGGGAAAAATAAGGATGTCCTAATTGTGTTCTACAAGAACTTTCAAGGAGGAAATACTTGAAGATGAGGGTATTGTTTAATTTAGTCAATAAAGGCTAAATCCAGTTGTTAGCTAAATTCRTATTTCTCCTGATCTCTTGTCCATTTTTTTTCTATTCTAACACTATGAAATGTGATTATAGCAAAGGCAGTGGTAGTCTTTCCACTGAGACCTTGTTCCAGTGCACCTGAAGTTGAGCCTGACAGAGAAATTGAGAAGTGGCCTAGGTTCTGAAGGATTTCAAAATGATATTGCTGCATTGATCTCCCTGGCTTTAGCACCTGTAAAGTCATTGTGCCMGAAAGATGTACCTTCTTACATACCTTCTGAAATGGGAACAACCTGATCCATCTGTGTCTGAGTGATGAATCAAAATGTTTTTGTAACCGAATTCCCCTGTAACAGAAGTTGGCAGTTTTCTTTCTAATGGGGAATGGAGCAATCAATTAAAACAATTGAAAAGAAAAATCCTTTCCAGAGCTTAGTGATTTGTGATAGTAGGACCTCATGTTGGGTATTCATTCTGTTTTTCAGGCTGATGATATCCGAGCTTTGCTGATAGATGCGATGCCTCCAGAAGCTTTGCCCACATGCTTCAAGCCTCAAGCTACTGTTGTTAGTGCCTCTGTGATCTCACCAGCATCCACACCATCCTGCCTCTCTGCTGCCAGCAGCATTGATAACCTCGCTGGGCCACTGGCAGAACTAGCTGTAGGAGGAGCATCGAATGCYGGGGATGGAGCAGCAGGAACTGACAGGAAGGAAGGAGAAGGTGCATTTGCTGCTGGACAAGTTTACATTGCCAGAAGTACAGTAGTTTAGTATCAAAATAGGCCTTGCTTTATCTGAAAAGCATTTCTGACTAGCCAGAACCTGTGTTTTAAAGTGCCTGATGCTTACTSTGTTTCCACATGCTCTTCTAGGAGCACTGTTCATCAGTGTTTGCTGTCAGTGATTAGATCTGACTACAAATGCAGATCTGATTAGGGGCCCAGATGTTCATTGATTTTATAAAAAAAATCCATTGAGAATTATTTTGATGAAGAATATATGATTGTGATGGCTGGGGTGTTTTACTAAGGCTTTTTAAACTCTTCGATTAGTATCTGGAATCCGTGCTTTAAGTCAGCATCTAGGTGATCACATAGTAAAAATATACCCACTCTTCTTTTCCTTCTCTTTGCAATATGAACCTCTATTTGTCACAGATAGTTTGTGCTTCTAATAGTTAATTCTGAAGAGGAAACAGTGATTAGCTTTGCTGAGAGCTTTGACACAATGGAAGCATATTGTTTATTACCGGCATAGACAAATTGATTATAAAAAGAATCAGAGTTTGGAATTTGGGGAGAATCGGTGGTATTGCTTGATTTTTTTTTTAACATAATTTTTTTGTTGGTTTGGTTTTTGTTACTTTGGATGCATAGGATAAAAAGAGTTGTTTCTTCTCTTATAGTTTCTGGTCTTGACATGAACATTACCCAATTTCTAAAAAGCCTGGGTCTTGAACACCTTCGGGACATCTTTGAGACAGAACAGGTAAGTGGCAAGCCTCATCTCTGTGTGTTTTAGAGATAAACTAATCTAATAAATTCGAGTGACGTTTTCATTTTCTAATTGAAAAAGTAAAGGAAAAAGCCCACACTTCATATCTACAGAAAACTGAGTGTGTCAGGTTTTTTTTTCAGTTTTCTGCAAATGAGTTGCCAGATACAATATGGTGAAGTTGCAAAACAGATGAAAATACCTTTTCTTTTTGGATTCTAATGTCAAGTAGCTTTCACTTATACATACACTATGACTGCTGATTTGGCTTGTATTCTGAGGGTTATTTTGGACCTTGTGAACTTTGAACATGATGACTACAACAGTTAGTTTGGAATGTCACATGCACTTGTCCTTCAGCAGTCTTGATAGCCAACAAGCCTTCACCACCTGTAATGCTGCATGTGATACTTTGGTTAGATCTGAGWAACCCTCCAGTKTGACTGTAAGCTGAAATAAAAATCTGCCACAGCAGCAGTCACACTAGAGAATGCAGAAGCTACATTTCCTATTAGGTTAGGGTCATAGCGTTATGAGGGTTTTGCAGGGCTACTAAGTTTCAAATGACATTGAGAGATAGGGAAAAAGACATRCAGATTTATCAATAATTCACAGTATATGAAAAGAGTACAATTAATGTAAGTTTCTCAAGCTTACATTATGCTTTAGAGCAGAAGTAGCTGTCATGTATTTGTAGATTCCCTTTATGTACTGTTTCTTAAATTTGACATGTTGCAGTTAAAGAAATTTATTTGTTTATGTGAATGAGATGGATGTATTGATGGGAGTACCAATGTGAAAGGTACAAGTGCAAGAGACAGGATTCGATGATTATTTTTTCCTCCATCCTCTGCTGTTAATCTTTTGTTGAGGGATCAGGAAACAAAGGTTTTAAATGTAAYGTGTTGCTTACAGTTCCAGCTGTTTCTGTGAAATATTCTGGGAGGTATATTTTCAAAGATAAAATACTGTATTATTTGTCCCTTTTTATATATGAAGTATAAGCTCTTTTCTTTAATTTGGAACTGTTTCTCTTCAGAAGGAAAACAAGCTAAAACCAACCTATGCTCTGCTCATGTTTCTCTTACTATTTTTCACACCTTACTGTTGCCTAGCTGGTTTTGTTCTACTTTTACTTCCTTAGCTCCTAAACTGTTGTTAAGAAGTTCCCCTACTAATAAGATTTAACAATGCAAATCGGATTCACTATATTCATAATTTTGAAATAATTTAGCTCTGCTTGTAAGTTCCTTTGTAGAAAAAACAAGCTCATCTCCTTTAAGCTTATTCTTTTAAGCTGATTTTTCCAAGAAGTAYCTTCATATACACTTTTTCACCTTGGCTCTTTAATAGTAACCTTGTGGAAAATTAATTTCTGCTTGTGTAGTGAAAATAATGAATTGTACAACACTGAAACTTTGGACACTTCAAAAGCACTCCCGTATTTGTCCCAGCATTTCCATGTATCCCCTTTCTGCCTAAGTAAAAAGCTTTGTGGAGAACCTTCTGTGAGAACCGGCTCTTGTTAATTTGTGTGAGAGAAGTATGAGTTTTGCTCAACTTCAGGCTGTAGCAGCTGGGTATGTCCTGTGGTAGGGAGGGGTTTGCCAGAAGGTGGCAGCAAGTAGAAGTGAAGCAAAACATTAAATATCTTTACGCTCTTGGTTGCATCTTGAATACTGTCTGTTTTCTGAAGTGATAGGTCTCCAGCCTTGGAAGTCAGGCCAGGTTTGGCAAGTGATTTTTGTCATCTTTCACCTTTCCAGATAACCCTGGATGTGCTCGCTGACATGGGGCATGAGGAGCTTAAAGAAATTGGCATCAATGCATATGGACACCGTCACAAATTAATAAAAGGTGTGGAGAGACTTCTAGGAGGGCAGCAAGGTAAATATGACACTTTTACTGATTAGTGTAATGTAAAAAACAGCAGGCTCCCAGAAGTCACCTGCTCTGAATGTAGGCATTGTCACCAGGACTTGAAAGAATCTGAATGTCAGSAAAGTGTATTAGCTGCAGACATGGTGGCCGAGTGGTTGTGATAGCTAAAGAATATATTAAGGAGATAGAGAAYTGAGTGATCACTTGCCTTTCCAGAGAATGGACACCCCTGGGACAGCTTTGCCCATTTCACAGGACCCTGTTTCACCCAGACAGGAGCTTTTGGATTGATTTGCCCTGTGTACCTACCCACAGGCCAGTTATATCCTGAAGCGTGGGCCGATGGAGTCAGGCTGCCCCACGCTTCTGAGATGTTTTTATTGGAAGAGGAAGCAATAAAGGCAATTATGTCCCACATGCATTTCCCTTCTCTCTTTTAAAGCCTCTGCTGCTAACGAAAGCACTTTTTATGTTTTTGAGGTTGTACTTATGCCTTGTGTTTATTTTCCATTTCCTGCTGTACTGGGGTTGTTTAAGAAGAATAATGATGATGATGGATACAAATAGAGCCAGTATTGGTTTTTCCTGTTTATTTTTGCTCCTTTTCATTCCTTCTCTTTGCAGGTACCAATCCGTATTTGACTTTCCACTGTGTGAGTCAGGGGACCATTCTCCTTGACCTTGCTCCTGACGATAAGGAATATCAGTCTGTGGAAGAGGAGGTAATCCAAGTCCCTTTCTTAACACCTCAGTGGCTGTATATTTTTCTTTTACTTATAACCTGTCAGAGCTGAAGTGTGCAATACATGTTGAAAGTGCTGAAATAGGCTTTGGTGTATGAAATGCATAGATCAGACATGAAGTTCAGGGTTCTTCATTTGTGCTTTCATAYGGAGCAATGATAGAAATCATTTTGCTATGTCTTGCCAATTTTTTTAATAAGCAGTCTCTACTTTCTTAGTGTTATCCCTACTTTATTTTGTTGTTGTGTTTTGGATCCTGTCTTTAATATTGTCTCATGGAGAGGGTTTCCACAGCTTTCCATAGGTAAGCGGACCTGTGGAAATTAAAAGCTGTGTGTAAAGACCAAGGGATCAAGGCCTTGCAATTCTCTAGGCATTTGCTGTTCTCAAGCTGTTTCTGCAAGTGAACCAGCTTGTTTTCTCTAGTCTCTGGCTTAGTTAATCTGTAACCCAGATAAACAGCTCTTGAATAATTGAGAATTGACTGCAATTTTGCCTCCCACACACACACATGCTCTTTTATTTAAGTAAACTACAAGCACATACCGTTTTGAAAGCAAAAATCATAACAGAAAAGAGACTTCATGAAGAGTCATGTTTGGAAGAAACTCCATTTTACTGTACATTTGCTATTTGTGTCATGTTGCTAGACTATAGCACCAAGTGTTTGGAATCTTAAAAAGTCTASATAATCTGGATTGCTGCCAGATTAGATGGGATGTTTTTATTAGTAACTTCATAAACTAGAATTTGTGCAGATCTTTTTTATAAACTTTTCTGAAAGAAAGGGTCACTTGTCTGCCATAGTAAATTGGAATATTTATTTGAACTATTGCTAAATATTATTGCTGTAGCTATAAATACTTCTCTAAAAGACACARTGAAACTATCTCTGAGGGAATCAGAAATGCTCTGCTAACAACATAGGAGAATTTACCGGGCARGTAGTTTCTTAATACTAAGAAATGGAAGCTAAGCTCATTAAAATCACATTTGTTATTACTTCAAACTGATCTTTTTGTATATTAATTTTCAAAGGCTGTTTATTTCTAATTTAAAGCAGGTTTTCTAGTTGTACATCATTTTGATAGCAAATACCATTATTATTCTTTTTCTTATGTGGATTTTTATTACAAGATTGGATAATTGCATCATCTAGCTTCCATATTGTGGAAAGCATACCATGTTGGCTGCCTGAGAAATTACGGTRTACCTCAGTTACCTCGGTTTAAAATTGAGATTTTTTTCTTTTTACACCTTTTAATTAATTTTCCATCTAGATATTCTGTTGTTGCCAGTGATATATTAAGACACTGCATGGATACTTTGCCTTGCTGKCAGGGTTTATGTGCTGAACATTCACTTTTGGGTTTTTATTTAGATGCAAAGTACAATCCGGGAGCATCGCGATGGTGGAAATGCTGGTGGGATCTTCAACAGATACAAYGTCATCAGGGTAAGTTTCAAAACCTCTCAGTTTTAAAAGTGTGTTAAGTATTTATGCCTGTGGGCAGAATCGGTTTAATGGTTTRCCCTTTTATATTAAAAGTTCTTTGTCAAAGTGATATTCAGGAACAGAGTTAAAGCAAGTGCTAAAATGAATGTGTGCTCTGCACAGGGAATGAGGGGGAAGTGTCCACTTGGGCTTCTAAAGGAGGCTGAAGAACAGATGTTGGAGAGAGATGTGGTGAAGAACCTGATTGAATTTCAGAGGTCAAAGCTTCTGTATTTGACCTTTGCAACACAGATGTTATTTTTTTTTGTCAATGTAGTCTTTTCTTGCCTCTTTAAAGGATATTTTGGGGTGTGTGTGAAAAGATTAGGCTTCTAATAGAAAGTTTCTATCTCCCTATGCAACTTTCCAGCTTGACACCACCTCCTTTGCCCTTGTCAGTTAGAAAAAAACCCTTTACAAGCCGTGGCATTTCAAAAAATAGTGTTGTCTTTCTGAGGGAAAGTACACTGGTTTCTTTTTGTGGGGAGAAGGAAATAGAGGCAGTCAGAACAGAACTTGGTTTCTGAGCTCCAGCAAACCTGTGCTGTCTATCTCTTTGAGAAGCAGACCTGTGCACAGCCTTTGCAATTTCATCCAGTAGATCACATGTTGTGAAATAAACTCTGTTTCCATCCTACTCCCAGCCAAAGGTGATATCCTTTATAGAAACCACAGTGGTGTTACCGCATGTGGCTGAAATAATACAGGTTAAACAGCACATCTCCTTATTTTTTCCTCTARAGTTGGTCCTTTTCATAAAACATAAATGTAAACTAGACAGCAGGTCTCAAAGAGCTAGACCAGATTGGTCAACAGAGCTCAAAGCAGAGAGGGAAGATGTTTCAGACAGTTTGTAGATTTTTGTTTTATTGCTGGCTCTGAGAGAAGAAGCCTGGAAGTTGTCCTTAAACCTGAGAACTTAAGCTGCAATTTCACACTCATTTTAGCCATTTGTAAGCTTGTGCTACAGAGTTTGAGAGACTCCAGCCTTGTGTGCAGAACAGCCATGGGGTTGGTTTCCTTATAGCATTCACACGTCTTGCCCTCAGTTTCCCTGTCAAATTAATGTGAACTCTGTGAAACTGTATTTTATTTCAACTGCAATTCAAGTATGTGTGACAGATTGAAATGTTGTAGTAACATCATGGTTTGATCTGTTGTTCCACTTCAGATTCAAAAGGTGGTGAACAAGAAGTTGCGGGAGAGATTCTGTCACAGACAGAAGGAGGTGTCAGAGGAGAATCATAATCATCACAATGAGCGCATGTTGTTTCACGGTAAGGAAGCAGTGTCTCTTGGTATGTATTGATATTTAACAAAAAACCCAAAACCTTGCAATGATCCAGGGGCAATGTTAATGTTGCTGTGTCACCATCCTGTGTAAGTGACTGTGGTTTTACAYTAGAAATGCAGGGGGTTCATTGGGGGTGTGGGGGTGGTGGAGTTACTCTCTGTGGTTACTGCAGTCAAAAAAGCTACACTAGGTGAGAAATACTTCTATTTTGTTTCATTTTTTTAAGAAAAAGGAAGGTTTTTTGCCAAGCCATATCTTAGTCATTTCCAGTAAAGCTTCTGGGATGATGTCACATTGCTGTGAGAAAGACATGGTGCCTTCTAAATAAGGGGAGCAGCACACAGTAAAAGCGTTTTACCCTGGTGCTTCAGGCATGCATCAGGGAAAAGAATCAAAACCAACCATGAGTTTCAGTAAGATTTCTCCAGAAATGCTTGCAAATGACAATTGCCTGAAGGTCCTTCTGCCCTRGATTCCTATATGATTCTGTATAGGAATAATAAGCTAGTTTTGGGTATGATTGTCCTGACACCTTGCCCCACTTTAACCAGTACTGACTTCTGGAGAAGGTGTGCATTGACAAGATAAATTGCACTGAAATGTGAGTGGGGAGAAAGCCATTTAATGAGATCTGTGAAATGAGTAAGAAATGAGTCACACGTGGGATTTTGGTATATAATGATAAATCCCACACATCACTGCATCCTGCTGGGTATCGCCCCCTTCCAGCTGACTGAGCACACTTTCTGGTATTTAATGGTCTATTTGAGGCAGATAAAATCCKCTTGACATTGAGTCTTGTATTACTATACAATTTAACAAGTATGTGTCTTTTTTGTGTCACTGTTCTAGGGTCTCCTTTTATTAATGCTATCATTCACAAAGGATTTGATGAAAGGCATGCATACATTGGAGGAATGTTTGGAGCTGGAATTTACTTTGCTGAGAACTCCTCAAAAAGCAACCAGTATGTGTATGGAATAGGGGGAGGAACAGGCTGTCCCACACACAAAGACAGGTCCTGTTACATCTGCCACAGGTATGTGTCTAGCTGAATTCCCCACACATAATTCTGGCTGTCCTGGTTTTTATGATCCTGGCACAGGGTGACCTGCAGGGAAAGAATGGCCACTTGAGCTTGCTCATGGCAGGAAAAATGCAGTTTTCCATTTGTCAAGGCAGAACAAAAATGAATATAAATGCAGCTAGTCCCACAGGAAGGTCAGAAATTACATCTGAGCATGCAGTGAGTATAAATCAAAGTGGGCTGTGGTTCAGAAAAGGGGCTTGAAACAGCAAGTTTGAAAATGAAGAGTCAGGGGAAAATAGCAATTAAACTCCAGGCACTCTCAGAACAAAACTGCAGTGCAAAGTGGTGGTCAGCAGTACAGTGTTGTACTGTGGATCAGGTAATTTTGGAGGTAGTGAACAGGACTTAATCACGGATTTGTTTTGTACTGGAGTAGATCAATGTGTTTCTCACACTAGGACACCTGTCCATTCCCTGCTGGTAGGAACAYAGAGAGTTTTTCAGCTTCTTTCAACAGCTTCATATAAAATGAACTAGAACAGGCTGCCATGCAAGGGCTAAACAAACTGTTTCTTCCATTCTGTGTGTCATGAAAGACTTTTCGTGACAGGTTTTATACAGTCTTAGAACTGATTTCTGAAAAAAAGTGTTTCTTGAAAAAGCCTTGAGAAATTAATTGTAASGAAATAAACTCGAAAAACAGAAATCATTCTGGAAGCATACAAGTCCTAGTAAGATGTTTGAAAATATTTCTTTTTTCCTTTTAGACAAATGCTCTTCTGTAGAGTGACCCTTGGAAAATCCTTTCTTCAGTTCAGCACAATGAAAATGGCTCATGCCCCTCCAGGGCACCATTCTGTTATCGGCAGGCCAAGCGTGAATGGACTTGCATACGCTGAGTATGTTATCTATAGAGGAGAACAGGTACGTGGGTTAGCAARGACTGAGCTTGGAGCTGGAGATGGGGTGTGGCTGGTTTCCAGACAAAGTGTGCTGTGATAACCTGGCTGATTAGGTTTATTTTTCTTTTCATTTAAATGTGGAAATAAACAGTGTCATGTATCTAGACAGCAAATGCTGCTACTCTCCACTGATCTGCTCTGCTTTATACCATGCAGAATTGCCTAGTTTCCCCTGTGCAGCACTGATGGAGTCTATTAAGAATTGTAGCTTCCCTGTAGATTCCCAGCAGTGACAGAGACTACCCTTAAATGGCAGCTGGAGTAGCAGAGCAATCTTCAAATGTTGATTTTCAATCTGAATTACTCAGCTAGACCCTGACTCTAGAAAAAGTGTTTTGCTTACTGCAGTGGGTGGCTCCAAGACCACCTGATGAAATGGAATAGCCACAAGCCTGTGGGACCTGATGACAAACATCCCAGGTCCTGAGGAAGCTGGCCAAGTAATGTTGCCAAGCCACTCTCCATCACACCCTGAGATGGTTGGTTGGAGCATGCTGCTGATAATACAAATGCCGTGGGTTTGATGCCTTTAAGGGCCATTCACTCACGAGTTGGACTTGATCCTTGCAGGTCCCTTCCAGCTCAGAATATCCTGTGGTTCTGTGATGTTTGAAAAGTTATGGCAGTCAGGACTGCCAGCAACTGGAAAAAGGGAACATCACTCATAGTTTTTATAAGGAGAGAAAAGTAGACAGGGGAACTACAGGTAGGGGAGCCTCACCCCTGTGCCTGGGAAGATCATGGAACAGATCCTCATGGACGGCACATGCAAGACAGCCAGCTCAGCTTTTGTAAGGACAAATTGTGCCTGACCAGTTAAATGATTTTCTATGATAGAGTGACAGTGATGGTTGACAAGGGAAGATGGACCAATRTCATCTACTTGTCATGTCCCACACAACATCCTTATCTTGAGCTTTGAAGGGTAGACTATTTGGAGGATAAGGAATTGACTGCATGGACACAGGCAGAGAGTTGTGGTCAGTAGTGGAGGCTCATGACAAGAGTGTCCCTCAGGGCTCTCTCTTGGGACTGGTGCTCTTTAATAATTGTTTCAGTGATACAGACAGTGAGATGGAGTGAACTCCCAGCAAGTCTGCAGGTGACACAACAGAAGGATGGGATGCCATCCAGGGGGACCTGGACGTGCTTGAGAAATGGGCTCACAAAAACCGCATGTGGTTCATCAAGGCCAAGTGCAAGATGCTGCACTTGGCAATTGCAGGACAATCCCAGACATGAATATAGACTAGGAAATGARCTGGGAAGTGCAGCCCTGTGGAGGAGGATGTGGATGTTCCAGTGATGAAAAGCTGGACAAGAGGCAACAGTGTGTGCTTATAACCCAGAGAAGCAGCCACATCCTGAACTGCATCAAAAGAGGAGTGGCCAGCAGCTCAAGGGGAGGTGATYCTTCTCCTCTACTCTGCCCTCCTTAGACCTCACCTGGGGTGCTGCATCCAGCTCTGGGGTCCTCAGCACAGGAAGGACAGAGGGGGTCCAGAGGAGGGCCAGAACATCATCAGAGGGATGAGGCGCCTCTCCTGTGAGGAAAGACTGAGAGAATTGGGATTGTTCAGCCTGGAGAAGGCTGCAGGGAGACCTTATAGCAGCCTTGCAGTATGTAAAGAGGGCTTATAAAAAAGAGGAAGAGCAACTTTTTACACAGGCACCTAGTGATAGGACATGGGGGAATAGTTTTAAACTAAATGAGGAGAGATTTAGATGAGATGTTAGGAAGAAATKGTTTATTCAGAGGGTAAGGAGGCTCCAGAACAGGTTGCTCAGAGAAGCTTTGGGTGCTCCATTCCTGGAAGTTTTCAAGGCCAGGCCGGATGGGGCTTTGAGCAGCCTGGTCTAGTGGAAGTTGTCCCTGCCAATAGCAGGGGGCCTGGAACCAGATGATCTTTAAAGATCCCTCATATACAAACCATTCTATGATTCTAAAATGAGATTAGATAGTTTAGGTTCAAAGGAGGTTACATGGGCCRGCCTCTTGTTCACACTGAATCCAGGCCAGATTGTTGAGGGCTTTCTTTGACCAGGTAGGTCTTGGAGGCCTCAGCAAATGGTGTTTCACAGCATCCTACAGCAGCTTGTTCCTTTGGTTACTTATCCTCAGAGTGGATTAATACGTTCTTTRTATCCAATAGAAAGCTTCCCTTTTTAATTAATCTCATTCTCCTGCTGTGCATCATCAAAGAGATGGCTGTTTTCTCCAAAAGCCTTCCACACATAATGCAAGATTGCTTTGGGGTCCCACAAACCCTGCTCTTTTCTGAGCCAAACAAGCCCATCTCTCTCAGCTTGTTCTTGTTTGTCCTGTGCTTTCTCCCTCTGACTATTCTGTTGTTCTTTTGCTGAACTTGGCTCCAGSTTGTTGACATCTTTCTTGTATTGGAGGATCTAAAAATTATATGCATTTTTTTTACATGTGGCCGAGTGAGTACTGAATAAACAGCAGTGGCTGTTATACCTGGTGATGTACCACAGGGTGCTCATGGCCTTTACTACTGCCAGGACACACTATTGATTCTGCTTTAGCTTGCTGTTACCCAAGGACCCCATCACCTTTTCAGCAGAGGGGCTTCTCCTGCAGTGTTACAAGACGTTGATCTCAGGTGTSTTTGCCCTTGCTGGATTACATGAGGCTGCTCTAGGCCCAGTCTCCATCTCATCTGTTGAGGTTCCTCTGAATGGAGCCCTGCCTTCCAGCAGTTTTTGGATTCAGGGACTGTTCTGGGACTGAACTGCCTACCAGCTGTCTTCAGGAAACCCTGGACAGATGGACAGATGACTGGGTTATGTGCTAAGGCATTTGCAGGTCACATAGCAAGTTATTGACCCTTTCGAGGTCAGACATTATCAGTCATTGGAGATTTTAAAGCAACTTACAGGCACTGGCTGATTTGTAGGGTGAGCTAACAAGGGAATTTACTCTGAATTCCTGTTGCACACAATTTCTGGCAGTGTCTGTGTAGAAGAAACATTTTTATTTCTGTTTGTGTATTAACCAAGGTGTTAAGTATATCCAGCAGTTCCACATAGTGCTGGCTAGGTTTGAAATTCACTTTCTTTTGCATGCTGTGAACATAGAGCTGATTCTTGTACTGTCCCTCCTGGTCACTGTTTAGTGAAATGCAAAAACTGGAACTTGCTGGGTCCCTTGCATAAACCAGTTTTTTTTTTTTTTTATTTTATTTTCAGGCATACCCAGAATATCTCATTACATACCAGATTGTGAAACCAGAAGCTCCCTCACAGACAGCAACAGCAGCAGAACAAAAGACATAGTAGCTTCAGAGCAGTGAAGAAGGATGTGACTTCAATCTTGGACTGGATGGATACATGTTTCAGAAAATCAGTATCACATAAAATTCTTAACAACCTGGAAATAAGCTGTATGTCTTTTATAAAGCATTGCTGTCTTGATGAATAGGATATGAGTAACTCTTGCATACTCGACTGCTACTGTTCCTCTTGAGGAAAGTTTACAAGGGACTGCCTTTTAATAACATATCTCAGGCTCCTAGTCTCTGCAGTTACCATGTGTAAAATAATATTGTTTTGATCTAGACCTTGGGAACATTATTGTGCAAATGGAAATCTTTATTGGTGCCATCTCACGTAAAAATTTCAGACACTACTTTTCTAGTTCTTTTATTTGCAGATAAATTGCATTAAGCCCATCATTTTCTTTTCAGCATACATACCATTTATTTCCAGTTTTCAAGARATCCTATTTATTCTCCTTTTGTATTCTGAGGTTGAGCCGGAACCTTCTTGAAGATTTTGCACAAAGTCAAGTTGACTAAAATCATTAACAATGCAATATAAATTTCATCTGAGAAGGGGCTAGGTCGAGTTCTTCAACACAGGATTTTCTTTGCACACTTCTGACAAACAATAACATGAGTGAGTGTAACTTTAGAGTGGAAACAAACCATGTCAGTTGGCAGCTTTGTCTTGTGTGAGTTTTCTGGGGGAAACCCTGGGAAGTGTTAGCAAGGGTAAAACCAGCTCTTGTGCTTGGGAAGAACTTCATGAAACAGGTTCATGCCCTGGGCTGTTATCTCCAAAACAACATTTTATAAGGCTTCTGTTAAGTACATGCAGCTTGTGAAATGTTCTTCAGTTGCAGCGGTGTTACCAGTTACATGGTTTTGCTGGGAGAAGCAGGTGAAAAGTCAGATTTCATACATAAGGGCATATCCAGTTCATGTCCCGCTGTAAGATGAGGCCCAGTAAATGGGTTTCAGGCTGGTAAGGAAGAGTGTATTACAGCAGTTTCCTGTCACATCTTTGTGTGTGACATCACAGTTGAAGAGCTTAAGTGATTAACAAAAGTATAACTTTTTAAAATATTGATTTTACATTTTGATGAGAGCAAAATTTTAAAATATCAGTTGGCAAGTGGATTTGTTTGCAGGTATACCAGAGAACAAAGCTAGGATTTATTCACTTAATACCCTTCTTCGCAAATTCCCAGGTTTATTTTGCTGGGTAGAAGAAAGTTATTTTTAAGCATTGCAYAGCACAGCATCAAACAGTTTCAATAGTTGCCCTCATGGTGGATATGGATTTAACAAAAGTAGAAACTGTTTCTTTTTTGTGGTGTTTTACAGTTTCAGAGAAGGTTGAAGATCAAGATCTGTTAATTTTTTTTTCAAACAACCAATCCCAGGAGATGTGCTTCAGTGTTGACCATGTAACAACTGGAGGAAAAAATGTCCTTTGGACACAACGCGCTGTACATTTCTCTGTCAAGCAGCACTATTTAGTACTGATGATCCAGTTCATACATTCAGGTTTTATCCCCCTTAAAGCAAAGAAGCAACAGAATAGTGTGCTTTTTGTTCATAAAAAATATGTGTGCTCCGCACAAGTGGGCTTTTGCTGGTATGTTTGTATAAAACAGACTTCAACCTGAAGAGCTTTTCACTTTCAGCATTAAGACACAACATTTTTATTTTTAACATTAAGGTATGAATGTTGAAGCATCCTCACAAGAAGTTTCACCCACTGTTAAATCAGTCATTTGATACAATATGGCTACCTGAACATCATCTGTTTGTAATATCTCTAAAGAAAACCTTAGAAATAGCAATACTCCAACAGAACTTGAACTCTTGAGTTTTACTTTCCTTGAGCTGAYGGTGGATATATGGTTCTCGCTTCATTTTGTGACCTGATTAAATATGTAGCTTTGAAGTCCCAGCCAGGCTTTAGCCTAGTTGTCCTTTTAAACAATTTCATTGATAAAATTGGGTGCTTGTATTTTGGCTACTTGTTTCATAGTGTTAGGATAGCAAAGATCACCACTAGGCTTTGAAGCTTTRTATTCACCATTTAAGTTTGGGATTTGTTTTAAATTTAGTTAAAAATGGAATGAGGGGATGTGCCTGTCTGTGCTAAGGCTTCAGGTAGTGGCCAGAGCAAGTGCTGCTCTCCATCCCCAGTTAGACATAGTTGTAAATGGTGAAACAGCCGTGCTGCTTAGGTGAGCAGAATGGTTAAAGTGGGCATGAAAGTTAAAAGCTTTACATCTTTCAAAAACAAGAACAAGCCTAAAAAGAAAAATCCCACCAAGCCCACACCGGATGCTCTTCTTGCTTGTTGTTTCCTGTGTGCTGGTTAAACTAACGGCTAGTCAGGATTCCTTTTGCAGCCTTGAACTTCTAGGGGATAAAAATAGCCTGGAGGAGACTGAGGGGAGACCTCACTGGGGTCTTCAGCATCCTTACGAGAGGAAGTGGATAAGCAGGTACCAATATCTTCACTCCTGTGACCAGTTACAGGACTCAAGGAAGCAGCATGAAGCCGAGTTAGGGGAGATTTAGGCTGCAAATCAGGAAAAGGATTTTCACCCAGAGGGTGATTAGGCTCTGTAACAGGCTCTTCAGGGAAGTGGTCACAACACCAAGGTYGACAGAGTTCAAAGAGTRTTTRGACARCATTCTCAGGCACATGGGGTGACTCTTGGGRCKGTCCTGTGCAGGGCCAGGAGTTGGACTTGGTGATCCTSATGGGTCCTTCAAYTCRGCAYATYCTGAGATTCTRCTTTCCAGTMTCTTTGAACTGCMAGTGTTAATGTTTCTGATGTTCTGTGCAGAGTAAAGGTGCTGTATGAGGAAATGATTTTGCAGTGGTTTTTGTCTTGTAATGACGTGATCTCATATCCGTTTGTGGCCAGACACGGAGGAATACCCAGGCCTGATGATGCATCTGTGTGTTGTGGAAACCTGTGCAGGAGTAGCATGTATTGTAGCTCCTCTTGCCCTTCAAAACAAAGTGAGGATCTGCTCATCAATGTCAAACTTACCTGCGGAAAACCCGGTGGTTTTGGTGGTAAAGCTGCATTTGGCAGGTTGTTAACGGTACAGATGTGCTGCTTTAGCTTACAATGGACCTTAAAAATGCCGTGACCCCATAACCAGGCAGCTGCTGCCTCCTGAAAATGAAGGTTTTGACCTGCTGAGAAGAGCAGTCCCCTGATGTTGGGATGCTCATTTGTAGCACTGGGTCAGCAGTGGGGGCACAGTAGGAGCTGAGGATGTAAGAACACTCTGGGATAGGCCCTCGTAGGCTTGGGAGACCAGGGACAGAACATGRAGTCTGCTGGGGAAAAGGACAATGTGTCTCTCGATTTTTGACAGTGCCCCTTTGAGGTAGCATTTTGAAACTTCTGTGTAGTTTTGTGACAGGACCTTAATAGGTAAAACAGAAGGAGAGCCACCATCTAACAAAGAAGGGAGGGTTCTGCTCTCCATTGCTGATACTGTTTCCATGAGACTGATGACTTACATACGTGGTGCAGAGTGACATTGCAGTCTGAATGCTGGCAASAAAACTTTTGTTAGGATTAAAAGCAGAGTACAGTACCTTAATAAGGTATATTTTATTTTCTCATTCTTATTTTTATCTACTGGTTGTGTTTGATCCCAGCTCCACAGAGACTGTTATAAACCTCTTACATTAATTCCATCATGTTCCAGTCACTACTGGTTTTATAACCTCTGTTTTGAGTGTTTGCATGTGATGCAATTGAATCCCACTGCATTATGTAGCAGGAATTTATTTTGCCTGCCAACTTAATCTTTGCTTGTTATGGGAGTACCCCAAAAGAAAATTCTACACTGAAGCAAAAACAAAACCCTGCAAAATGTTCTGCTCTGTTGGCTGTGGTGGGCAGCAGACATAGAAAAGGCATGTAGTACATGGGAGGAAGTAGCTCCTGGAGAAGGGCATTTTCTTGGCTCTGGAAACCAGCTGCTGCTGCTGTTTGTTGTAGGTTAAAGGAGGTGTCTGCTCCCTAAATGTGTGAGGTGCTGAGGGATGCTAACAATGCTGTGCCACTGCATGGCCTATGAGAGCTACTTAAGACAGCGGCAATTCTCAAAAAAGCCTCCTGCATCACTGCAATTACATCAGCTTCTGCACAGTTCATACACTGCCTACAATTTCTGTATGGGACTGGTAACAGAGTTGCCCTGTACAAGTTTTTTCAAGGTGGGTAAAAGGAAGGGTCCAGCCACAAAACAGGTTAGTTTGATCATTGTTCATCATTMTCAGAAGCTGAACATCAGGAATTGTGTGAATTGATTTTCAGTGGGATTTCTCTGTTTCCATGCTGCTTTGCCACAGAAAATCTAGCTCAGAAATCTAAAATGATGTGCATCTAATGCATGCTTCAGTTACGTTAAACTGAGTATTTGTGCAGCATTTTAAGCTATGCTGCAGCCCAGATAGGGAAGACATGAGAAAGCACAGATTCAGTTCTTGCCTCACAGAGCAAGTGGCTTGTGAACCTCCACAGACTTGAATCCAGTCGTGGTCAGAGGTGGTGGCTTGGCACCATCCAGAACATGAGGGGCAGTGTTCCCACCTCTCTGAACACAGTAGATGTGAAACCCAGGGGACTGAGGGACATTGTATATGTGTTAAAATCTTTGAAGCAAGGTGAATGAGCTAGGAATCCGTAGGGCACATGGGAAGCAGATGCACTGACACATGCCTGTCAAGTCACGTTATCTGACTGGTTTTGATGTATTGGTCTTACTGCACCTGTTGGTGGCAAATTTTAGTGCTGGTCCCATTACTAATGTTAGTATTAGATCCTCTGTTATTATGAGAATTTTGACACTTTGTTAACATCTGCAGAACTTGCTTCAGTTTTGGAAATTGAAATGGGGATTTTCTGATCTGCAGTCCCATGAGCTTGTGCTTCATCATTCCTAATTGCTTTCTCTGGCAACCCAGATGGCAGTGTAGCTGGGGTTGAATTTCTAGACTTTTTTTTGTGTAACTTGTTTTCATAACTAGCCCTGTATGTGTCCTCTCTTGGTTGCCAATTACCTGGAGCCAGAATATCATTTATTTATTTCTTCTTTTACCTTCTCTCTCAACATTGAAGACGATGGGCAGGTTCTCAGCCTACCTACATGGTGGACTTTAGGTAACATCTCTGTAACAACTGAGTTTGATCTATAAATGTGCTTGGCTAAATGTCTGATCTGCAACACTTGTAATAGTTTAAAAGTCAATAAATACATTTTTAACAGCTGCTCTGTGAAAATGGAGTATATGCATAACCTGCTGTTCTGTCTTGGTCTTAGGACAAATCTGCTCCAGCCAAACTGTTGAAAACATTTTTATTTTTATTTTCTCCAAACAATGTTTTCTCCCTCCCTCAGGCAATAAATAAAAAGTTAATTTCTAGAAAAAAAAAAAAAAAAAAGAACAAAACCATACATATGTACATCAGCCACACAGGCATCTTGTGTGTTGGACTGGACTGGAGGGAAGGACAGAGGTAGGGTGGGAAATAAGGCTCCAGGTGGGTTGAAGATGAGGCATTTTCAAGGCTTGGACCAAAAGCTGCAGAAATGTTGCACAGGTGAACAAGACTCAGCACAGGAAAAGGGCAGGTAATGAAGTGAGAGAAGCTTGAAAATGCTGTATGGATGACACCTCTGGGCAGCCTGGCYTCTACCCCGCAGCTTCTCTTCTGTTATAGCCCACCCATGTTCCATCCTTTTGGAAGAGCAGCAGTGGGACTGTTGGAGAAGAAGCTGAACGGAGTAATCAAAAGGGGCCCAGATTGCTGCCTGCACCCTTCTTTCTCATCTTGAAGCCACAGGAGATTGGACCTAAGTTCTGTAAAAACCAGTGATCCATAGAGGCAAGAAAAGAGGCATTTCAGACTACATCTCCCCCTCCAAATCACTTCCCAACCACAAAGATTGCTCTCTTCCACTGGAGTGGGCTCAGCTGATTTGGCAGGAGCCTGCCAGCTCCTACCTCATCTCTCCAGCTACTGGAGAGATGAACTCCAAACCACTCCTGCTTGCCCCAAGGCCCTGCCCGCAGCTCTGCGTGTCCAAAGTGTACCAGGCTCAGGTAAGCAGCACCCACCACACACACAGAGGTCTCTGAAAGGGGCTGCTGCACAATAAAAACAGGGTGGGCTCCCTTTTCAGCCTAGATGAGCTGGGGTAGAAACATGGGGAGCAGGGGATGTGTATCTTTTTTTTAAAAAACAAGACAGTTAATAGGGATGGAAACACATGAAGACCAGGCACTTGAGGAAACCCAGTATACTAATTTTTTTCCTCCCCCAAAGAGCCTGGACAATGTCAAGGTTTGTGGCTTTTACAACTTCCGTGCTTTCAAAACATAACAATTAAAAGCAAACAAACCAAGATGAGGTAAGAAATTTCTCTACGAAAAAGATGTTGAGTCCAGGGTGAATGGCAGTGTCCGGCACTATTGCTTAACATCACAGGGCTCCACACCCCTTGCACGCCTGGCACTACCTGCCCGGCTGGCCTCRGCCCTGAGCTAACAGCTGGGCGACGTGGTGATGGGGCTGTGCAGGTAGGGGAGGCTGCTGGGGGTGGCATGGACACCAACAGACACGGGGAAACTGAAGACAAACTGCGAGGTGGGCGTGGAGGTGGCCTTGCCCCTCTCCCGCAGCGTCCCCGAGGGGCTGACAGCTTCCACTGCGTATGAAGTGGCCAACACCTGCGACTCGAACTGCAGCAGCTGCCCCATGAAGCTGAAGTTGGGGGAGATGATGCTCCGGCGCTGCTTGACAAACTCGAAGGCCTCCTCTAGCTTGACGCGCTTCTTCATCATCAGGTAAGCCAGGCAGATGGTGGCTGAGCGGGAGATGCCAGCCTGGCAGTGCACCAGGACCCGGCCACAGCACTCCTTCACTGAGTCTGGAAGGCGACAGGAGTGAGACATGAGACCGACACCCTTCCACCATGACCCAAGCCCTCACCAAACCTGCAGGTGGTGGATAATCTCCCTCCCACCAGAGCCACAAACGGACACAGCCTCTCTGCACGGGCACTCACCAATGTACTCAATTGCCTCCATGAACCAGGAGCTGATGTCAGCTTTGTGGTTATCCTCCACAGGGATACACTTGTACTGGTAGTGCCCCTCGAAGTGGTTGGGGCAGTCTGAGGAGACGTTCAGCAGGGCTGTGATGCCCAGTGCATCAAGCATGTCCCGCCGGGCTGCGTGATAGGCGCTGCCAAGGTAGAGGAAGGGAAGGATTTCCACAGGCCCACCCTGTCACAGAGAAAAACAACAGGTTGGCCAGGGGACARTGGCAGGCAGGACACACACCCAGATGGCTTGAAAACACTGCGCTGTTCAGCAACCTGGCATCTAATCCTGGGCCATCAAAAGAGGGAGCAGAGGCTGCTTTCCTGAGGTGCCAAATCTATTTCAGCCCTCCCCCTCCYTGTCCTGTTCAGAAGCAGACACGTGTGGGTTAACAGGATTTGGGCTTGTCTGCTCTCTGACGCGCACAAACACCCTGGGATCAGGAGGACCACCGTGCTCTCCCAAGAGAGGAAAGGAAGCAGGGCAGTGGCTCCACAAGCCCCAGCTGAGGGAGAGCAGGGACTCCTGTGGGACCAGGTTGCAATGCTGGAAGGAGCAGTCAAAATAGCTAAGAGCGCTGGGCTTCTAGACGTACCTGGTCATGAAAGGGGGTCCCACAGGAACTGCAGCCCAAATCCAGGGGCTCAGCACTGGTGGGGGGTGACACATTGCTCAGGGACTTGGTTTTTGCACAGAATTCAGGATACTCCGAGGAGAAGCGCTCATAGCCTCCTGCAAGAAAAGAGGCACAAAGTGTATCCCAGACTATATTCACAGTGCAGAAGGGCACAGCCGGAGCTGCCCTTGGCCACTAGATGATGCTACAGCGATGGAGAGTGGTCTCCTGCCCCAGGATGAGCAGTCAGGCTCCTGGCAGCAAGAGGGGAATCCCCTGAGTCCCGGCCATTCCCTTGGAGCAAGAATACCAAGAGCAATGATTTTGGCTACCCAAATCCCTCTACATGCTGCTGGCCAAAACCCCAGACTGAGGGGGGTTTGGAGAGAGACAATGAAGAGAGCATTTGTTGCCAGCATACTCAGCCTWAAATGGGACGAGCTGCTCTGAGGCCAAAACCCGTTCAATTCTCAGCTTCCCTTGATASATCATTTTGTCACAAAACACAGGCAGGAATCCCACTTTCCCAGCTTGACCCTCCAGCTCAGAGCTCCCAAAACAACAGACCGTGAAAGCCCTGGCTCGGGCCAAGKACAGCGAAACTGACCCCGCAGCCAAGCTGCCCTCAGAGAGAGGTGTCTGCTCTCTCCCAAGGACACAGGTGCAAGCTGAACATGGAGCAGCTTGTTCCTCTGACCTGCTGCCAGGGGGACAAGCACAGGTGACGTCAGGGCTTCGTCATGGCAGCCAAACAAGAGCAAACCCCATTGAGTTCCCAGGGAAGCTGCAGTGTTGGCTGCCAATAAACACTTCTGGTGAGATTTCCTTCTCTCATTCAAATCAAATCAACAACCCTGACATTCTTGTGGGGTCTAACCTTGAGCCTCAAAATCAATGAAAATCAAGTATTTTACTATTACCACAGGACTCCAGCTGGACCAAGTCCTGATTCCCACTATGGCTTCTGAAGACTCAACCCAGCTGCRGGACCTAAACCTGCAGACTTCCGCTTACCAGAGCATACAGGACACATCTTTCTTATCATCCTTAGCTCTGTGAATGCCCTGAGCAAGGCTGGATATTGAAGACCAATGGATGCAAACATCTCAAGTAGCCCAGGAATCCCTAGGTAGCCAGAGACCAGTACTGCCAGCATCCCAGTGTCATTTGTGGTTTCTTCCCCCTACAAAAGGAAGGGCTCTAACACCTTAAAGCAGAACCGTGTATGTGCGTCTGCATCAGCATTGTCCCTCCCACGCAGCCAGGACAGTTTGCAGAGGCTGCATTTCCCTGCCTGACATCCCTTTACAGTCCTACTGCTTCAATTTGAAAGAGCATCCAAAACCAAGAGCCCTTGGTAGACAGCTTCCAGGGATCTAGTCCTAAAATCCCTGGATCTATTACATTGCACTCCAGTGGTCATTGTACCACCCTGAAAGGGAAACGTTGCCCAGGGTGATGGGCAGAAACAGGCTCCCTCCTTGGAAAGAAAAAACGACCTTTTCAAATAGTCCAAGATGTTTCTGTTCAAAGAATCTYATCAGAATGCCCACTGAGCCAAGAACCACATCCAGCAGCTCCTGGGTGCGCACACCGGCCCTGCCTGGCACAGGAGCCAGGCAGAGCAGGTGCCCATCACCAAGCAACACCCAGCCAGCCTGGACAGGGAACCTGGCAGCAGCCTGACCTGCACAAAACACATCTGCATCTTCATTGTGACCTGTACCCAACRAATGTGTGTTTGGGCATGCACATCTCTCGTTTGGTGTAGCTCTCATGGAATCAGAACAAGACCATTTTAGTAGCTCTGTAGTACACAAGGAAGAAAACTGTAGTGCTGAGACTGAGTCTCTTGGAGCCCATTCCTTAGAAGGGCTCCCATTCCAACCAACCTCCCACGAGAACCACAAAGGCACCAGAAGCTCTCAGCTGACAAAGGCCACCCTTGAAGCAGAGCAGCATTTCCTGCCACATGCGTGGCTCCAGCACCACGCTGGCTCATGGTGAAGGAGCCTGTTCCTGAGCGAGCCCTTGCTGTGCAGGCACTCCCGCAGCAGCACATCGTATCGCATCCTTGGAACAGCTCCTGCTGCTTTTACTGTAGCTAGTACAACGCAAGTGCTAGCTCCTCCATCTATCAAGCCTCTTAATGGATTTGCTACTCTGCATACACATCCTCACCCCTGCTGTAAGTAAACCAAGGAATAAATTGACTCTGAGGCTGTAAACAAAATAGAAAAAGCCCCACAGAGCTCATCTAGGAGCCCCAGCTGAGCATCCCCCGCCCCTAAATCATCTCACAGCAATKCTCAGGACCAGCAGCTCTAAATGTGCACAGCTTCTCATTTAATACACGGCAGAGGGGGGAAGCCCTCATCCCTCCTGTAGTCGCAAAAGGAGTACAGAGGTATCCCCGCGTTTTCTACCCGCTGCAAAGGGACATCGGCGTGACAGCAGGTATTTGACCCTGCACAAATACCTCCCCTGCGCCTTGGGGCCGGGGATGAACTCAAACAAAGAGCGGGGGGATTTCCCCACACACACACACTTCCCTCAGGTCCCAGGCAGGGACACGGGGCCCGCTCGATGTCCCCGAGCCGGCTCAGACCGCGTGGGGCCGATGGCCGCGCTSAGAGCGTCCCGGGATCCCCGCCGTCCGGTCCGGTCTCCCAACTCCGGGCAGGACAGCCGGGAGGCGGGAGAGGTCGGAGCCCCCCTCCCTGGCGGGGACAGCTGTCCGCGGCCACGTCCCACCCG